TTCAGATTTTTTAAAAATGTATATCCTGGGAGTACAAGTGATGCTTCAAGTAACTGGGTCCCTGCCACCCACATGGGAGCCCCGGATTGAGCTACAGGCTTCTGCTTTGGCCTTACCCAGCCCCAGCTGTTGCCAAGCATGTAGAGATTGAATCAGTAGTTCATCTGTCTCTCTTTCCCCTTCAAATAAATAAAGCTTTTCTTTAAGCAATGTTTCCTATAGGAGCTATTTTTTAAAAAGTGGAAGGCCTAGCAGTTAAGATGCCACTGGAGAAGCCCACATCCTACTCTGGAATACTGGGTTTACAGAATACAGCTTCTGATTCCAGCTTCCTACTGGTGCACACCTTGGGAGACAGCTGGTGATAGGTCAGGAGGTTGCATCCTCATAACCCATAAGGGAGACCCAAAGTGAATTCCCAGTTCCCAGTTTCAGACCTCTGCCTATTAGGGGCATCTGAATGAACCAGAAGATAAGGGATCTCTCTGAGTTTCTCTGTCTCTCCCCACATCTCAAATAATAAACAAATAAAAGTGAAGAAGGAAGGAAACTGTTTTCTACCAGTTTTCAAAGGCTATTTTATTTTGCTAGTCAATCCAGCCTCCCCTAGTTCTACAATGATCATTAAACATCTTCTCTTATTACATATTTTTTGAAAGAGCAAACATTTATTATCTCATAGTTTCTGAAGATTAAGAATCTGAAAGTGTCCTAGTTGGGTGATTCCAACTCAGTGTCTCTCATGAGTTGAAATCAATTTGTTTATATATTAGTTGTAAAGTGTATGAAGCATTGCCTGCCCCATAAAGCTAAATTTAAATTCCATAATAATAGATAACTCAGCTCTGGAGTACTTACTTTGAAAAAACCAACAAAGTTTCACTATCATATTTTAATGTATTTTAGATGTAAAATACCCTTGAACACTGTCTAAAGTAAACAAATTTCACTTCTAACATTTTATTTAATATCTGAAGCATTATATGAGTTCAATTTGCTAAAACAAATGAGTTCTAACTTTATGAAGCTTTCTTGAAGTAACAAAGTTTTTAAAAAGACACAAATATCTGAAGACATACATAATAATAGAAAATTCACTGAATTATCTATCAACTATAGTACAAGTTATATTTTTAGTCAGCCCTCTATTAATGAGCAAATTTGTTTTAATTTGATACTATAATGAAATTGATGAAGCTGTAGACTTCGATTTCTTTACATGTCTAAAACTAGAACAGGAAAAAATTTTCCTGATATTACTGAGAGAAAAATATTAGAGAAACTTTCCTCTATAGCCATGTTCCCAAACATCCCTTTTAGTACCTTGATGAAAATGTATCACACAAGAAACACATAAGCTTCTAAATTAAAGATTCATTTCAATATGTTCCCAATTTGAATAGATTACAGTATACCTCAAATACCATCCAAGTATACACAATGAAACTTTTTTTTTCTTTTTAGATTTAAGAACAGCTATTCAGTGGCTGGCGCCATGGCTCACTAGGCTAATCCTCCGCCTTGCGGCGCCGGCACACCGGGTTCTAGTACCAGTTGGGGCGCCGGATTCTGTCCCAGTTGCCCCTCTTCCAGGCCAGCTCTCTGCTGTGGCCAGGGAGTGCAGTGGAGGATGGCCCAGGTGCTTGGGCCCTGCACCCGCATGGGAGACCAGGAGAAGCACCTGGCTCCTGCCTTCGGATCAGCGCGGTATGCCGGCCACAGCGCGCCGGCTGCGGCGGCCATTGGAGGGTGAACCAACGGCAAAGGAAGACCTTTCTCTCTGTCTCTCTCACTGTCCACTCTGCCTGTCAAAAAAAAAAAAAAAAAAAAGAACAGCTATTCAGGGGCAGGGCTGTGGTGCAGCAGGTTAAGTTGCTGCCTGCAATGCCAGCATTCCCTATGAGCTCCAGTTCAAGTCCTGCTTTCTCCACTTCTGACCAGCTCCCTGCTAATTCACCTAGGAAAGCAGTGGAGGGGCCGGCGCTATGGCAAAGTGGGTTAACACCCTGGCCTGAAGCGCCGACCCCCGATATGGGCGCTGGTTCGAGTCCCAGCTGCTACACTTCCAGTCCAGCTCTCTGTCTCTGCTATGGCCTGGGAAAGCAATGGAAGATGGCCCAAGTCCTTGGGCCCCTGCACCCACGTGGGAGACCCCAAAGAAGCTCCTGGCTCCTGGCTTCAGATGTGTGCAGCTCCGGCTGTTGTGGCCAACTGGGGAGAGAACCAGCAGATGGAAGATCTCTCTCTCTCTGCCTCTCCTCTCTCTGTGTAACTCTGACTTTCAAATAAATAAATCTTAAAAAAAAAATTAAAAAGCAGTGGAAGATGGCACAAGTACTTGAACCCTTGCAATCCACATGGGGGACCTGGATGAAGTTATAGGCTGGTCCAAATGTGGCCCTTTGGGAAGTAAACCAGGGGATGGAAGACCACTCTCTTCCTCTCTCTGTAACACTGCCCTTCAAATAAATAAATACAATTTCAAAAAAATAAATAAATAAAAGCAATTTTCAACATTTGTCATATTACATTGTATTTACCACCATTACTGCTTCTTTAAAAAAAGGGGAGGAGGGGAAGCAACACACAGCACTCACTCTGCTCTATAAATCACTCCCCCTTTTCCCCAACTAAATAAATGCTACTCTATTCCGTTTGTCTGAAAGAAAAACAGCAGAAACATCTTCCTGGTCTACCTGGCAAATCAGTGTGCAGATACCAACGCAACTGTTATGAAGGGCTCAGAATCAACACTGTAAGAAAACAGAGTGGATCCTCGGTGTATATGACCTGGGCCCATTCACAGCCACACCCACACACACACCCAGGCACACACAGAGAATTTCTACTGAATAAGAAAACACCTTTACATCATTAAAAGGTTACAATAAAACTGTTCTCTTTAGTGTTCCTCCAGGAAGGAACAAATTTGTAAAGCTAGGCGAGAGAAGAGTTAATTCCAGTATTGCTGCCACCTATCAACTTTAATTCAAAGCAGAGTACAACTCAATGTCATTTTATCTCCAACGCAACCACGACTGAATCGAAATTAACTTCCCTGTAAGATAAAGTACCCTTGCACAACAACGGCTGATTTACTTCTCTGATTTGACAGTATGAATGTGTGGAGTCTTTTGTCCCTCCCACAGCATCCCACGGTGTCAACATCATCATCTTTGTCGAAGCAAGTGACGAACAAATCCCTCGGCTCATTACTTCAGCACCTAAGTACCAGAAAGTCCCGGGCCTTCCTCCTCATTGCAACACAGCAGACAAGACTCCCCGGTCCTATGCCCCCTTCCATGACAGTCGGGCGGGCTGGGAAAGGCGCACTGCTAATTCCTAAGAACCCTCGGTGCACCCAGGTTCCGGCACCCGGAGAGGAATGAGTCTCAGCGATATGTGGGTCACCCAGAGAGAGAAACAGAATCAAGCTTCATGACCCTCCAAGTTCGGCGAAGACACCCGAAGCCTCGGGGAGGGGGGAGACGCGGCAGGCGCCTTCGGGGAAATGGGGCAGAACCAGAACCGTCTCCGAGCTGGAAAGTGACTGGGTCTGGCAGAAGTCCGGGGCGTGGGCAGCGACCTACGAGCCCCGGGTGCCCTTCTCCTCCTCGCCAGGCTCGGCCACTCCGCTAGGGCTGCGGCCCGAGGAAGGGGGTCAGGATTGGGGGAGGGCGGGGCCGGGGCCACCCGGGGCGCCCTAGGGGTGCGGGGGGTGTGTCCTACCTGGGCCGTGGCGGACGCGGGGATTTCAGGCGGAGGGCTGGGGTCCAGCTCAGGGCCAGGACCGGCAGGGGACAACCCTCGGCAGGCGGGACCGTCGCCGCCTGCCCATCCCCCGCCGCCGACTGCGGCGGGACCTGAGCGCGGCTTCGAGGGCCGGCCGGTGGATTGTCCCCTCAGGTACCGTCCGCGCTTACTGGCGACGGCGGCGGCTGCTGCCGTTACTGCTGCTGCTGGCCGCCCCCAGCCGCTGCTCTTGTACCAGCCCCTGTTCCTCTTGCCGCCGCCGCCGCCGCCTAGTCCCCACCGCTCCCATCGCCGCTGCGGCGACTACTGCAGCGCCCGCTGACCCGACCCGACGTTATGCTCCCCCTTCGCAACCCGGCACAGCCTAGCCCACCTGCCCCGCCAGTGCGCACGCCCACCTCTCCGCCACAGGTGCTGATTGGAGAGTGCGTTCCGAGCCCGCAGCGTCGGTTGGCTGGTCCCATTGCCTATCACGGAGGGGGCGGAGAGTCGGGCAGGGAGCGTCTCCGCCCCCCACCGGAGAATTGCCGCTATCTTCAGGTTTGCCTGAGAGGGCGAGTTACCGGGAAAGGAGCATCACAATGGCAACGCGCATGCGCGCGGGGATTCTGGGCCTCGTAGTTCCAACCCCAGCCGCAACTGCCCGCCTGTCCCGAGGAGAGAGGCAGGGCTTCTGAGATGAATGATGGCCGCAGGAAGGTGTTCTCCCAGCTCAGTGATTAACTTAGAGAGGCGTGCATGTGACGCCACGATTGAGGTGTTGTTTTTTTGTTTTGTTTTGTTTTTGTTTTTGTTTTTTTTGACAGAAAACCGCGGCTGCTTCGTCACGCTATGAATTTACACACCGAGGCGGTTGCGGGGAAGGGCCCGGGATCGTGAGGCCGGGTCACAGGTTAAAGGAGCCATTTGCCTCCTCAGAGCCCGAGCCGCCGTGCTTGCCCGCAACGGCGCCACACGGAGCTCCCGCCGCGGGGGACCAGGGAAAGGCCTAGAGGAGTGAGGAGGAAAAGGGACGGAGACTTCCACCAAGGACGTCAGCCTTTGTGCCCCAGCGGTCTCTCAGCCCACGAAGAACAGAACTGCCTGCCCTGTTTGAAACACGGCCGCCAAGGATTCGGTCGAGAGCCGCGGGGCGGACCGCGTGGGATGCTAAGCGAGAGTGTGCGGGAGTCGCTCAAGATTTTGAAAGAAGAGCGAAGAGGGCGGAGCAGAGGTGCTGCGGGTTCCAGTTGCATTGCGTGTTGGTCGTGCCAGCCTCTCCGGTGAAGGAAAACCTTCCGACCCAGAGCTTCTGCCATCCCATCCTCACCCGCCGCTTTCAGAAGGGAAACCCCAGTTCAACAACTTTCCAGAAGCTCTAAAACTAATTCGCAGCAGACGCAAAACTCAAGTCTCTTAAACCCCTCGTGGGCAGTGCTTTTCCTCATAATACTCGCAGGACTCCCAGCGGTCTACGGTGTACAGAGCGCGTGCAGTGACGTATAAGCTCCATTTTACTTTAATAGTTAAAAGACAGAAACGAACAAGAGGCGTCATTAAAGCTAAATAAGAATATAGAAGGGTTTTTCCTCGCTTGGAAGTCCCCCTCCCTGATGGAGGTCTCTGACTCTGATAAATCTCGCTTTTAAATCTTAATATATATATATATAAAATCGTATAGAAAGGTTAAATATAAATCCTATGTTCAGTCTCAGAACTGTTCTTACAAGAATCTTCTTCTTGGGGAAATGCCACACCTTCTTGACATTCTTAAAAAAAAAAAAAAAAAAAAAAAAAAAAAACAGCAGGCGGCTGTGCTCTCTGTGGTGTCCAGGTTCTTGGATAAAAAGCAGGACAGAATGTACATTAAAAGCAATTGAAGATGCAGCTCATCTTGTTCTATTCAAACATAAAGAAGTTGCCAAATTTCACTTCCTACTGATTAAAACCACAAGTTGCTTTTTCCATTATAATTCAGAGTATTGTCCAGACATATAATTTGAATAGGAAAAGACTAGAGTCTCTGCAAATACCTTTCTTTAAAATTAAAGCAATTAATGGCTAAGGGTGTCCAGATTCATTGAATATACCTAGCAATGAGTCTCCCTTTTTCTCGGTCTTTTCCATTTACTAATTGTGGGTCTGTCCCCAGAGATACTTTTTCATTTAGGATAAATGGCAAGGTAATATATTATTCAAGAGCTGGTACTAGAATTCAGGAATACCCTTTGAGACAGATCAATCTTTTTAAAAAGAAATAAATAAGGGAGCCAGTCTTGAAAATGATCCCCAGTAATCCCTACCTCCTGGTATTCTCACCTTTATGTTGTCTCTCCCATACTGGATTGGGCTAGCCTGTGTAACTAATAGAAATTACACGGTGTGGATATGAAGGCTACTCCATGGAAGACTTTGTAGCTCGAGCCTTATGCTCTCTTGGATTACTTACTTAGAGGGAAACCCACTGCCATATCATGAGGACACTAAAGCAGCCCCATGAAGAGGTGTCCTGGCAAGGAACAGAGGCCTCACACCAATAATCTGCACCAGCTTGGAAATGGATTTTCCATCCCCAGTCAGGACCACCTACCATCTTGGCCGCCAACTAGTGAGACATTCCAAGCCAGAGATGCCCAGTTAAGCCACTCCCAAACCCATACCCAGAGAAACTGGGGTAAGTGTTTACTGTTGCTTTAAGCACTGCATTGTTGGGATAACTGGATAATTGATTCACTCCCCAAATGCCCACAACAGCCAAGGCCGAATCAGAGCTGGGAACTCAATCTGAGTCTCCCATATGAGTGGCAGGGACCCAACTATCTGATCATTACCTGCTGCTTCCCAGGGTACACATTAACAAGAAGCAGAACTGGGAGCAGAGCCAGGACTTGAACTCAGGCACTCTGGTATGGGATGCTAGTATCCCAAGTATTGTCTTAACTGCTAAGCCAAACACTCACCCCTGCATTCTGAATTTGGCAAAAGTGCATTCACACCAAATATCTGTTGTGTTTTTGAAACCTCATCCTTTATTTTGTAGTGAAATGCATTATTTCTAATCAACTGAGCACAAAATTAGTTAAGAGAACGCTGTTGGTGGGCATGGGCAAGGTAACCAATTTGGGGCATATGAGTTTGTCTTTTAACCTATTGAATATCAATTTATGTTTGATAATGATTAAAGAGGACTATAATAGAGATTGACACTGATTATAACTAGTAAGAAATTGTTTATAGACATAATTCTAAATGTCTTGATCTGCTTCCCATTTATGCCTAACTTTTGTGAAACACAGAATAATCATACCACTAAATGTTAACAGCTTACTTTTTCCAAGTTTTATTAGAATAGTGAGTTCTATACATATTTGTCTTTTAGACCTTTTTGTTGCAGGGTCATCCCTAATATAGCATTGTAGTATAATCACAGTTTTTAAGTGAGAAAGTGATGGGGTGATGTTGTCATTCCTAACATCTGCCTATGACATTGTGTAAAATGTTAAGTGACTGGTTCAGCGATTAGCAACTGCAAACACTAGACAGAAAAGCTTTCTGCTTTTTTCAGACCCTCCTGGTAAGATGACTGCCTGGCTAGAAATGCTAGCAGCGCATCCTAGTGACCATAGAGCGCCACTGCATGATGTATTAAAAAAAGGGTCTCAAATTTTTGTCTTATTGACAAACAGCATGGTCCAGCCATGGCTGTTGTGGCCATTCATTGTGGCCATTTATTTGGGTAATAAACCAATGGCTGGAAGCATGTTTTCTCACTCCCCAGATGGCCGCAACGGCCGGAGCTGCACCCATCCGAAGCCAGGAGCCAGGAGCTTCTTCTGGGTCTCTCATGCGGATGCACGGGCCTAAGCACTTGGGCCATCTTCCACTGCTTTCCCAGGCCATAGCAGGATCAGAAGAGGAGCAGATGGAATACAAACTAGCATCCAAATGGGATGCCAGTGCCACAGGTGGGGCTTAGCCCACTACGCCACAGTGCCAGCCTCGCGTACTTTTTTCATGATACACATTTCTCATAAAAGTCCTAATGAAGCCATCTTGCGTGCATAGATTTCAAAAGTTAAGGACCAAAATGAACTATGTTTTAATTCCATTTTCCAGGAAGTTTTTTTTTTTAAAGGTTTATTTGAAAGACAGAGTGACAGAAAGGGAAGGAGACAGAGATCTTGCATCTATCTGCTGGTTCATTCCCTACATGTCTGCAACAGCCAAGTCTGGACCAGGCTGACGCCAGGAGCCAGGAGCTCCATCCCAGTCTCCCACATATGTGGCATCTGCTGCCTTCTCAGGTGAATTAGCAGGGAACAAGAGCAGAGGAAGAGCACCTGGGACTGGAAACAGCGCACTAATAGCTGATGTTTGAGTTGCAGGCAGCAGCTTAACCTGCTGCTCCACAACACTAGCCCTTCCATGGACTTTTTCAAGTACCCTCACACAACTTTTGAATTTTCTTCAACTCTTACCAGAAACATAGCAAGGGTCATTGTAAAGAAAAGAAGTTGGGGGAGGGGAGAGATCCCCCAGTATAGACTTTAGAAGAGAGAGGAGAGAATAATCCTAGTAAATCTACCTTGAAAGTGGTAATAACAGTACAGAACCAGAAAGATGGGCTTTTTAGGTTCCTGCGCCAGTGCATCTGACACACAGCATTTAAATAGCAGCCCCGCCTATTCTTAGCACTGTATCCCTTGTCTATTGGTACCTTAAATTTGCTCTAAGTCAGAGGTGCCAGTATATAAGGGACCATCTAGACCCACTTGGGGATTCTTGTTCTATACTTTTGCAGAAAGGCACTATCTTTGTTCTCCTTTTTGCAGTAAACTGTAACTTTATTTCTCTTGCTCATGTATATTTTCTTTTTTTAAAAAAAATCTTTTTTAAAAAGATTTTATTTATTTATTTGAAAGTCAGAGTTACACAGAGAGAGAAGGAGAGGCAGAGAGAGAGAGGTCTTCCATCCGCTGGTTCACTCCCCAAGTGACCACAACAGCTGGAGCTGTGCCGATCCGAAGCCAGGAGCCAGGAAGTTCTGGGTCTCCCATGCACAGGGGCCCAAGGGCTTGGGCCATCTTCTACTGCTGTCCCAGGCCATACCAGAGAGCTGGATCGGAAGTAGAGCAGCTGGGACTCGAACCGGCGCCCACATGGGATGTCAGCACTGCATCAACAGCACCAGCCCCACTTATGTATTTTTTCAAGATATCCATTGTTGGGAAAGTAAAAGCAACAGGAATAATAAAGAGTGTTAAACCTTTAATTTGGGGTGGGTGGTTAGCCTTCTGGAATGCCTGGGTTCCATATCTGGCTTTGCTCCTGAATCCAGCTTCCTGTTAATGCACTCTGGGAGGCAGCAGTGATGGCTCAAGAGGTTGAGTGCCTATCACACATAGGAGACCTGGACTGAGTTCCTGTAGATGGGGTATATCTCCCTCTCTTCTCTCTCTGCCTCTCAAAGGAACACATCATAGAGAAAGTAATACTTGAATTCACTATTAAATTTTCTTAGAACTTTCAATTTGCCTTCATAATATTAATCATTTGTATATTCTTGCTTTTTCATTTCTGTACCAATTATTTAATTTTATGTTAGAATTTGGGGATTCCTTTAAGAAATGGCTATAAATCCTCAATGATTTGTGTCTTCCTTGCTAACAAGTATAATAAAATTTTAAATTCCAGTCAGGCCTATTTTGATGCTCCTCCAATTGTCAGTTTAACCAAGTACCATTTTATATGCAGGATGACAATTGTGTTGGATTTTTCAAATGATAGAGTCCCACTCTGCAGGAATAAATTTATTAGCCCATGTTTAGCACCTAGAGTCATGCACACACAATGAGGAGAAAAGGAAAAGGAAAATGAAAACCAAATATAGGGGTTCCCCTATCTTTATACCAACACACCTAAGTGTTGAACCCTCATAGAACATAAAACTGAGCTTCTAACAATATTAGCTGCCGCTCAAAATAGCTTTAGTCTGTCTCTCTTTTGTCATTCAACCCTGGCCCTATTTACAATCAATGACTTTGATGGATGAAATCCCCAAGGAAGAGCCAAGGAAGCTAGAAGGCAAATGGGCAAGACTGGAACTTGGAGAAATGCCAAGGCAGATGGAGGGACAGGATTAAGGAGAGGCCACTGGATATAGCGATGTGACCTGTGTGCCTGCCTGAGCTTACGTTTGTCAGTTTTCAGTTTTCTCCACCATAAGTATCCCCCCTGTGGGGAGCAACCCGGACTAGACTGTTACTGGAATTAAGACTTATTCTATGCATCTGCTCTCCCACAATATGGCGCTGGGAGAGGAGAAAACAGCTTCTACCCAGCTGCCTCCAGTTCAACCAATAAACAGCAGGACCTGCTCCTGATTGGAGGAGAGCAGCGTACTCGGCGTGTGGGTAGCAGAGTTGGGATTGGTGGAAGAGGACTATAAAGGAGGAGAGAGACGGCATGCACCAGGAACATCTAAGGGGAACATCTAGCTGAAGGAACACCTGTGCAGCCCCCGAGAGAGCTGGCCGGCGGTGTGCCGCTCCCCTGCGGAAGTGGGGAATGTGGCCAGGGGGAACTGCCCTTCCACAGAGGTGGAAGGGATAGTAGCCAACCCGGGAAGAACCAGCAGCAAACCCGGGGAGGGCCGAGCAGATGAAAGAACAGCGCAGGGTCTTGTGTCGTTCCTCCACGAAGAGGGGGAGCGACACCCCCCCCCACTACCCCTTTCTTCCTGTTTTTGGAAGAAGTCATTACCTAAAGTCCACAATTAAAGAGTGAAGTGGGAAATTTTAAATACTTATTTATACTGTTTTTACAAATTATCTAAAAGTTAAAGTATATCTAGTTGCAAAGGAATGGGAGGAAACTCCAGCAAAATAACTTGGAGCCATGTTTTGTGGAGTATTGTGTTTCTGGAGCCACAGAGAGCCACTGTGTCTAGCAGAGATATTACCAGACCCATGCTTTAGGAAGATTAAAGGTGACAAGGTGCAGAATTAGTTCAAAGAAGTAAGAAACTAGAGATGATGACAGGACCAGCAAGGAGTTATTGTAGTTGTCCTGGAGTAGGTATGAGAAGGGCCTGAAAGTATGGTACTGGATATAATCTCAAAAAACAATCGATGGGACTTGGCAACCTTGGCAAGTGACTGACTGGGGAAGGAAGAGGCAAAGATCAATTAGGTGTTAAACCTGCATGTCTTGGAGAACAGTGGTATCTGTAACAGAAATAGGAGACGGGAAGAACTGGTTTAGAGCCAAAGATGAATTTGATTTAGTTTTCTAAAATATTTATCTGAAGGGAAAAGAGACCAAGAGAGACATACACATTTACAGACAGATATTTCATCTGCTATCTCACTCCTCAAATGGCCCAACTCCCAGGGCTGGGCCAGGGTGAAGCTAGTAGCCAGGGACTCCATCTGGGTCTACCAGGAGGATGGAAAGAACTGAAGTGCTTTGCCATTTCTGCTACCTTTCCAGGCCCATTAGCAGAAAGCTGTATTGGAAGTAAAGCAGCCAGAAACTTGAACCAACTCTCTCAAATGGGATGCCAGCTTTGCAAGCAGTAGCTTAGCCACCTGCACTACAACACTGGTTCTGAGTTTCATTTAAACTCTACAAACGTAAGAGTCCAGCAGCACTACCAGGGAGAAAATTGGAAATGCAGGTTCTGATCAGACTAGACACAGGCTGGCGCCGCGGCTCACTAGGCTAATCCTCCACCTGTGGCGCTGGCACACCAGGTTCTAGTCCTGGTTGGGGCACCAGATTCTGTCCCGGTCACTCCTCTTCCAGTCCAGCTCTCTGCTGTGGCCCGGGGCGTGGAGGATGTCCCGGGTCCTTGGACCCTGCACCCGCATGGGAGACCAGGAGAAGCACCTGGCTCCTGGCTTCGGATCGGCTCAGCGCGCCAGTCGTAGCAGCCATTTGCGGGGTGAATGAACGGTAAAGGAAGACCTTTCTCTCTCTCTCTCTCTCTCTCTCTCTCTCTCTCTCTCTCTCTCTCTCTCTCTCACTGTCCACTCTGCCTGTCAAAAATAAATAAATAAATAAAGACTAGACACAAAGACTTGAACATTTTTTACCTAAAATGAAACTGAAGCTGTGAGAAGCTCTAAGGAATGTGGACTCCACAAAGCAGGTAAGATGAGGGGAGGGTTCAGGGCAGATGGGAGGAAGAAAAAAGTAAGGGAGTAGAGGGGTCGTGTCAGTTCTAAAGTTATGGACACTTCCTTTGGGTGAGTATCATATCAGGATAAGCATATTACATTCTCTAAAAGTCACCTGCTTTTGTCTTTATAATTCAGTTCATATTTCTGCTTTTGCCACCCTTTCTCTTGCTTGCAACTTTTTTTTTTCTAAATTGATATGATCAAGGATAGGTGTTTTGGTGCAGGGGGTTAAGCCACACCTGCAGTGCCAGCACCCCATATGGGAGTGCCTGTGGGAGGGAATTCCTGGCTCCCACCTTTGCTGTAACCAGCAGATGGAAGGTCTTTCCCTCCTCCCAGCCCCATCTCCCTCTCTCTGTTACTTTGCCTTTCAAATGAACAAAAAAATTTAATTTTGGAGAAATTGGTATTACCTTATTGTTTTACTGTCAGCCACAGGTTTCACTTGCTCTACATTGTTTTTAAAGGGCCACATCAACTGTTCCTACAATTCAGTTAACCAGTTCTGGAAGCTGGCATAAACAACTTGTGATATACCCTGACTAGGGCATGTGTTTACTAGAATATAAATTCCACAGGCAGGGGTTGTGGTACGAAGGTTAAAATGCCCACTTCCCATTTTTTTTAAAGATTTATTTATTTGCAAGTCAGAGTTACACAGAGAGAGGAGAGGAAGAGAGGCAGAGAGAGAGAGAGAGAGGTCTTCCATGAGATGGTTCACTTCCCAATTGGCCGCAACAGCTAGAGCTGCGCCGATCCGAAGCTAGGAGCCAGGAGCTTCTTCTGGGTCTCCCATGTGGGTGCAGAGGCCCAAGGACTTGGGCCATCCTCCACTGCTTTCCCAGGATGAAGCAGAGAGCTGGATTGGAAGTGGAGCAGCCGAGACTTGAACCAGCACCCATATGGGATGCCGACACTTCAGGCCACAACCCACAGCACCGGCCCCCCACTTCCCATTTTAGGTGACAGTTCAAATGACAGGCTACTCACCTTCAATCCAGCTATGCATCCTGGAAGACAGGAGATGATGTCTCAAGTGCTTGGGCCTCTACCACCCACATGGGAGACCTGGATGGAGTTCTGGGCTCCTGGCTTCAGCCTGGGTAAGACCTAGCTGTTGCCAGCATTTGAGAAGTGAAACAGCAAATAGAAAATCGCTCTCTCTCATCTACCATTCTGCCTTTCAAGTAGATGAAAATACAGATTAAAAAATTATAAATTCCAGTAACTTATTTTGCATTGTTTTCATTTTACATTGAACCCAGCTGTTTCATTTCTGTCAAGTGCTTTTTGCTAACAGTTTGGTTATATATATATATATATATATTTGACAGGCAGAGTGGATAGTGAGAGAGAGAGACAGAGAGAAAGGTCTTCCTTTGCCGTTGGTTCACCCTCCAATGGCCGCCGCAGCCGGTACTTATCCTGGTCTCCCATGGGGTGCAGGGCCCAAGGACTTGGGCCATCCTCCACTGCCCTCCCTGGCCACAGCAGAGAGCTGGCCTGGAAGAGGGGCAACCAGGACAGAATCCGGTGCCCCAACCGGGACTAGAACCCGGTGTGCCGGCGCCGCAAGGCGGAGGATTAGCCTAGTGAGCTGCAGCGCCGGCCGGTAATATATGTTAAAGTATTCTTTTTTCATGAACTTTGGAGATGAATTTTCCCCAAGGGAAATGTCCGTCTTCCCCAAAATGGCTTGAAATATGTGCCTATATTATTGAAATTGGTTTAATCAAATCACACTTGATATGGACTAAGTGGAGACATGTTTTATATTTTAAAAATCAATTATTGGGGGCCAGCGCTGTGGTGTAGCAGGCTAAGCCTCCACCATTTCACATCTGAGCTGTTTCTCTTCTGATCCAGCTCTCTGCTAATGCACCTGGGAAAGCAGTAGAAGATGGTTCAAGTGCTTGGGTCCCTGCACCCACGTGGGAAACCTGGAAGAAGCTCCTGGTTTCCTGGCTGCAGTTCCACCCAGGTCTGGCCATTTGGGGAGTGAACCAGTGGATGAAAGACCTTTCTCTCTGTCTGTAACTCTACCTCTCAAATAAATAAAATTTTTTATAAAATCAATTACTGGGGCCGGCACTGTAGTGTAGTGGGTAAAGCCACAGCCTCTGAAGCCGACATCCCATATGGGTGCCTACTGCTCCACCTCAGATCCAGCTTCCTGCTAATGGCTTGGGAAAAGCAGTGGAAGATGGCCCAAGTGTTTGGGCCCCTGCTAGCTACATGGGAGACTCAGATGAAACTCTTGGCTTTGCCCAGGCTCAGCCCTGGCCATTGCAGCCACTTGGGGAGTGAGCCAGTGATGGAAGATCTGTTTCTCCCTCTCTGTAATTTTTAAATAAACAAATCTTTAAATAATAATAATAATAATACCCTTGGTTTTCACTCTAGCCATCCTTGTTTTTTTTTTTTTTTTTCCCACAATGTACCCAGAAACCTCTTCCTAAATGCAAATTTAACAACGTCATTCATCTATGAAAAAACAGTAGTGATTTCTCACTGGTCCAAGCATGGCGTACAGACTCTACATAATAATTTTTCACTCTTGTCTTTAAGTTTAAATTAAAGCCATACTTTCTGCTTGAGTCCATGCAAAGAAAAGAAACAAGATATAAATAATGGAAGGAAAGAGAAATAACACATTATTCACATGGTAAATCTTCCAAGCAGCCAAAGGAAAAAAAAAAGCATTAAAAGTAGTGGACAGGGTGGGCATTTGCCCTGGAGGTTCTGAAGCTGCTTGGAGCAGCAGCATCCCATATCTGAGTGCCTGGGTTTGAGACCTGGCTCTGCTTCCGACTCCAGCTTCCTACTGATGTACACTCTGGAAGGCAGCAGTTAGGTCCCTGGCACTCATGTAGGAGATCTGGACTGAGTTCCAGGCTTCTAGTATTTTTACCTGGTGCAGCCCCAGCTATTATAGATGGACATCTGGAGAGTGGACCAGTGCACAGATCTCTTTTACAAATAAATACTTAAAAAATAAAATTATTTGCCACAATTAAGAAGTTACTCTCACAGAAGGAGAGAGTAGCATAATGGTCACTGTAGACTTGAAAAGTGGGTGAAGATGGCAGTGTTGTGGTGCAGCGGGTTAAGCTGCTTCGTGCAATGCTGGCATCCAGTATGAGTGCTGGTTCAAGTCCCAGCTGCTCTACTTCCGATCCTGCTCCCTGCTTATGTGCCTGGGAAAGCAGCAGAAGATGGTCCAAGCGCTTGGGCCCTTGCTCCCACAAGGCCTGGGTGGAATTCCAGGCTCCTGGCTTTAGCCTGGCTCAGCTGCAGCCGTTGCAGCCATTTGGAGAGTGAATCAGTGCATGGAAGATAGTTCTCTTTATCTGTTTCTCCCTCTCTGTGTAACTCCGCCTTTCAAATAAATCTTAAAAAAAAAAAAAAAAAAAAAAACAGTAGGGGAGAGAAGGAAATTAGAAGTTAAGTAACAGATAACAAAACACAATTAGATAGGAGGAATTACTTCTGGTGCTTTATAGCCCAGTAGGGTAACTACAGTCTAAACCAGTAAGATAATTAACTAAAGTGTAGAAAAGTCACTTGCATCATATGTTATTCAAAGAAAAGAAGGCAAGAACTCTTGGTAAGTTCTTTCTTCATGCTAAATTTTGAAACAAACACAAGCACTAGTTCTCAGTGTTTCTGTGTCACTTTTTGATTTGTGATGTTGAGAGGCAAATAGATAGAGGAGACAGAGATACAGGTAGAAATAGAGAACTCTCCCATTCATCAGTTCATCCAGCCACAGCTGAGCCAGGGCCAAAGCCGGAAGCCAGAAACTCAATCCAAGTCACCTATGTGGGTGGCAGAACCCGATTTATTGAGCCTTCACTGCTGCCTCATGGGGTCCATGTTGGCTTTGTGCAATATTTGTACCATTTAATGCTCCCAAGTTGGAGACCTATACTGAGTTCTGGACTCCTGGCTTTGGCTGTTGAGAACATTTTGGAGGGCAGAACCAGCAGATGGAAGATCTTTGTCTCTGCCTGCTTTTCAAAAATCAATAAATGAGATGCATCATTAGAAGGAAGAGACTATTAAATGGGCAGGGATGGTCAAGAAAGCTTTCTTAGCTTCACAGCTCCAGGGCTCCCTCCTCTGCTGGTGTTGTCAAATATTCATAGTACCCTCTTGTACTTACATCTTCAAATGCTACATTCTGCTAATCTACTACTTTACATAAATACTCACACAATCTAAACTTTATTACACACAGTACCCCTGCTATTCTCAATTTGGTTTGTTTCTAGCAGTTTCCCATGGGGTGAGGTTCTTTCCCTAATAAAAGCAGTATTTAATGGTTATTTATAAGAATCTAGAGTATGCAAGAGTGCCTCCATATTGATCCTCTCCAGGTTAATTTTTTCTACTTTTACTTTTAAAGTCTATGAGGACTTTTTTTAGCTTTCCCAGTAATTCTCAGACCTGATTGCCCAGGTGTCTACTGAGTGGGGTCCCTTCCATTTTGAGGTCATTTATTGGTATTTCTTCAGTTCTGTAATTTATATTCAGCATGCTTTTTCACTTTCCACCACCACCATCACACAAATCCTGCTGTTGCTGAGGCTGTGGGTACAACAGATTCTTTGTATCTAGTTTTACTGAATATTACTAACCTCCCCCACAGCCATCAATCCTGGTCCAGCGATGTGTTTTTCAGGAAGTTTTAGGGAGAGTAAGAAACTATAGTGTTGTTGGGGCTGGTGTTGTGCCCCCAGCAGGTAAAGCTCTTCCTGGAGTGCTGGCATCCCACATTCGTGCAGGTTTGAGTCCCGGCTGCTCCACTTCCAATCCAGCTCCCTTCTAATGCACCTGGGAAAGCAGCAGCAGATGGCCCAAGTGCTTGGGCCTCTGTACCCAAGTGGGAGACCTGGAAGAAACTCCTGGCTCCTGGATTCGGCCTTGCCCAGCCACAGCTGTTTGGGGAATGAACCAGCAGATGGAAGAGCTCTCTCATTCTGTCTCTCCCTGTCAAATGAACAAATCTTTGCCGGAAAAAAAAAAAAGAGAGAGAGAATTTACAGTTTATGTACTAATACCACCTTGCTCTTGGATGCCTTTTAACTTTTGTAGAGATTTGTTTACTTATCTGAAAGGCAGAGAGAGAGGGGAGAAAGAGAAGCGAGATCTTCCATCCACTGGTTAACTACCCAAATGGCCTCAACAGCCAGGGCTGGGCCAGGCTGAAGCCAGGAACCAGGAGCTTCATCCAGGTCTCCCATGTGTGTGCAAGGGGCCAAACCACACTTGCACCATCCTCCACTCTTTCCCAAGTGCATTAGCAGGGATCTGGATGGGAAGTGGAGCAGCCAGGACTTGAATTAGCACCTTTGCAGGATGCCAGTGCTGCAGGCAGCTGTTTTAACTGGTGCTCACATGGGATGCCAGCACTGCAGGCTGTGGCTTTAACCTACTGTGCAACAGAGTTAGCCCCTTTTAACTTTATTAATGGCATCCTTTGTAATATAAAAATTTTTAATTGTAAATGATAAACAATATGCCTGAGCAGATGATCTGATTTTCCTAGTAGTGTCCATTTATTCTAAGGTTAAGTATGGAAAAGACCCTTAGTGATTTCCCTTCCAACTACCAGTGTCCTGCATTTTCATCCTCTTCCCAAAGAAAACATTGCTTCACTGTCTTGAGTGTTGTTACTCCTAGAATATTTTAAAGTCCTAAAACAATGACTTTTTCTTTTTAGACTCTAGGCACCAATGAAAGCTTATATAGAAACTCAAAACAAAACAAAACATAACTATCCAAGTTTGGCATGTTTTCCCTTTCTTTGGCACTTAGTCTGAAAATTACTAAGCTGAAAAGAAGCAAGCTCCATACAAGTGGAGAGTCGTGGCTCAGGAGCAGAAGGAAATCCCGCTGATTCTCTTCAGATTCAGAATCCAGGGTGAGAATTGAGAACGTGCTCACCCTCTAGAGGTGACTTTAATGCAGTCAAGTTTGAGAAAGATTACACTACCATATGATGCCCATATGGTAGCCACTACCCAATTAGGACTGTACATTTTTTTTTTTTTTTTTTTTTGACAGGCAGAGTGGACAGTGAGAGAGAGAGACAGAGAGAGAAAGGTCTTCCTTTGCCGTTGGTTCACCCTCCAATGGCCGCCGCTGCAGCCGGCGCACCGCGCTGATCCTGGCAGGAGCCAGGAGCCAGGTGCTTTTCCTGGTCTCCCATGGGGTGCAGGGCCCAAGCACCTGGGCCATCCTCCACTGCACTCCCTGGCCATAGCAGAGAGCTGGCCTGGAAGAGGGGCAACCGGGACAGAATCCGGCGCCCCGACCGGGACTAGAACCCGGTGTGCCGGCGCCGCAAGGTGGAGGATTAGCCTATTGAGCCACGGCGCCGGCCCTTGTACATTTAATTAAAATGAATAAAATCAGTAATTCAGGTCCTCTACTAGCCACATTCCAAGCACTGAGTAGCCATGTGAAGATGGTGACTACTACCCTGCAATGCAAATGCAGAACTTTTCCGGGCAGTGTTGCTCCAGACAGCTGTCTGCACAATAAAGTGTGCATACACAAAGGGATGTACAGGTTCACTTGGAAGATACTTAAATATCTGTTTCTATTTCAAGTGGTCTTTTAATCTCCCTTCCTTGAGCTATGTTTTAAAAAATGTATTTACTAATTTTTATCTATTAGAGAGGGAGAGCTAGAGACAGAGAACTCCTATTTGCTGGTTCACTCCTCAAATGCCCACAATGCCAAGGGCAGGCCAAGCTGAAGCAGAAGCTGAGAACTCAGTACAGGTCTCCCATGTGGGTGGCAGGGACCCAGTTACTTCAGCCATCACCTGCTGTGTCTCAGGGCATACATTTCCTGGGAGCTGAAAATGGAAGCAGAACCAGGGCATGAACTCAGGCACTCCAGTACAGGATGTGAGTGCCCCAATCTGGGTCTTAACTGTCAGGCCAAATGCCCACCTCTGAGCTGTTTTTCATCATACTTAATGTATTAGCATGGTACTATATGAACACAAAAAAATATGTACTTATATTTGGTATGTATGCTTAAACTATTTACAGATGGAATGCATGGTCAAAAACTTTGGACATCCATTTACACTAAACATCTGTGTCTTCTAAAAAATTTGCCTGAACTGATAAGCATAATTTTTTACTATAGCTTTTATCTAGTTATAAATTTTTATACTTCAAACCCAAATCCCCAAACATGAGAAGTCCCTTTTTTCTTTTTAAATATACACATATATTTTATTTCAAAAAGCACAAGAACATTATACAAGTTTTAAATTTACATTTTTGCAATAAAAGATATCAATATATGCATTATTTGTATAACTTCATCATGGATGGAATTTGAATCAGTGGTATAAACATGTTGCAGTCACTAAATATAGATCATCATCACAGTGAACCAAAATGCATAGTTGTTATGAAATGACAAATGACCACTAAAAGATGAACTCACAGCCCATACACCAACATAATAAATTAATTTTACAGATATGTTTTTCTTCACTGTATCATTAAAATTCTTGCCAGTCCCTCATTAAACATTTGAGAAACACAGTTTTGGGGCCATCCTGTTGAACTTGTTCCTTCATTTACTGTGCTAAAGAAAACAAAGTGACTTGGCTGTTTGTGAGTAAACTTCATAAGCATAATTGTTTGCAGTGATGAAGGCATACCACTGGTACATCTGAACATAATGAGAAATCCTTCGGGCTTGGGGCAGCGCTGAAACTTACGTTCATCTATAGTGTGGAGATCTGAATCAAGCCCAATAAGCAGAACTCAGTAAGAAGTGTGCTCTTTGGCAGCTAAGGTCTGGCTGGCCATCGCCAGGTAGTCCTTCTGGCAGCTTGAGAACTTAACTCCAGGATTTATGAAGTGAACATGAAACAACTTGAATGAAAGTTTATTTTGTTAAACTGGGGCCAATCAGGGCAGAAATCAGCATTTTCTGTTGTCTATTCTAGGTCAGACTTCCAAACAATCCATCAGATAAATTATATAAGAAACAAAGGAAAATGTTCAAATCATTTAAACTGGCAAATCTGACAAAGTGAATACTGAGTTTTCTGATCCTCACCTGTTGATTGTTACAAATTCATTACAGTTGTAGATATTTCCTGATATCTTCTGAATAGCAATTATTCAAGTAAAATTCATGATTGTGATTCCGATACTGGCTCCTGCCAAGCCCTTACCACAAAATTCACTTTTCTTTACATAAAAGTACCAAAAAAAAAAATACCTCGCCCCAAATGTGCATGAATCACTTAGCATATATATTTTTATTTGCTTGCCTTTGCTGAGCAAAAAGCAGTTAGCAAAACACTTCCACACATATAAGACAGTAGTAGCCAAAGTCAAAATAAGATACAGTCTTTGAATCTTTCAAACACCTGACATTACCCCAGAGAAAACAGAAGCTAAAATAGAGGGTTTCAATATATCTTCTGTCTTTTGTTTTGTATCACAAGTTCTTGATATAAAAAGTTAAAGCCCAAAACCAAGAAGTCTATGCACAGAGTCGGGAGACTTCGGTTATCTATAAACAAGATGGCTCAACCACAGGGCATTTATTATGGGATGCAGACTACTGATTACATGGCTTTTTAAAGTTGTTTGTACTAGTCATACAACCAGAATTTATGAGAAGGTTGCACACAGGGAACAAATCAAGGATTTGTCTTTTACAAAGACACAGAAGGTTGCAGAGTTGGCTTAAATCTGATAGTTTTAATTTACAATTGTCATGATCCATTCACTGGGAGAATTTTCTTACTCTCATTCTATAAATAGTTTCCATCAGAATCATATTAGGTTTCTACGAGTCAGATAGGGTAGTTCCATGATTAAGAGATAAGAAATATCACTGTAGAAACCTGCCTCTGGGAAATAGAAAGTGTAATTTCAGAATTTAACAAAGCTGTTTGTAGTCAGAGGTGTGGATTACAGGCTACTCTTCTCATCAGGAATGAGTAACGAAAGCAGTATCCTAGGTCCTCTTGGCGTCTACAGAAGAAAAATACTGTTTTACACTGGCTGAAATCACAATCTGTCCATATAGGAGTCAGCAGGTGGAAATTAGGGGTATTTCCTTAAAGCACAAATAATAGGTTTACATTTTTGAAGTCTTTCTCAAATGAACTGTAATGCATGATTTCTGCATTTCCTCTTCAGCTGCAAGGAAGACTATCACAGATATTAGACTCTTGTCAGTGATCCAGTGCCAGCTAGACTAAACTTGGGGGAAAAACCAACAAACACAAAATGGCAGAAAAGTTATCCAATACAACATTGTACACAATTTACTTGATGTGACTTCATTCATTAGGTGGATGAAATGAAATCGGACAGATTATGAAGGGGAATGAGCTTCCTGGAAATATTAGCAGAATCAGACACATGGCGTGAACAAGCATTTCTTTAGTGTTCTAGAACATAAAACAGGTAATCTATGTCCTTCTTTCCCTTGAAGCATACATTTTCTAATTGAAAGCAATACTCCATTAAGGAATATTTTATTGATGTACGTGAATCTGGACATGGAGCAAAAAACCCTCCAATCCTTCCCCAGCCCTTGGAAAGGTCTCCGTAATTCTCAATCAGTCTTCCCACTGAAGTCATTCGTGATTGTCTTGAGGCAGAATTGGAGCTCACAGCAACTGCCAGTTGAATCCAAATAACATCTGATTAGTTTCCTGGCTCCTAGCAATCTCTTCTATAATGCAGTGTTGTTGCCAGACCAAATGGAGCTTCCGATATCGCTCATGAGATAAATGAAGAGGGTTGCCTCTCCTTTGGGGGAAAACAAAACAAAACAAAAACATGCAAATTTGAATCAAATAACTATCTTGGCCTTATTGTCGAAATTAGTTTGCATTCTTGACATGTTCCTAGAGCTGGGAAGAACCACTAAGAAAAGGTTTAAAAGGGGATAGTGTCCCTTCACCATTAGTCACTAAGAACTTGATAGGTTATATATTTAATGAGGCAGAAATTTACCCTATACTATTCAGAATTCAGGTCAAGTACACTATGGACACTATGAGATCTTATTTAAATGGCCAGTGCAGTTTATAACTTGAAGCAGCACTATTCTCTTTTAGCCTGAATGGGACTTCATTGGCTGTTTTGTTTTGTTTTTTTGGATCTTAAAATTTATCCAGCTTGGATTTATGATCTTTGCATACTGGAGGTTAGGTTTGAGGCCTAACACTTAGCCCTCAGATTATATTCCGCTACTCATAAATATTTGGTTATAACTGTTTTTATGATACAACAAACTTGCAGGTGATTAGCAAACATTTAAATAAAATAAAATCACTTCCATTCTAGGGTTGCAGTTTGCAACACTGTGTAACAGTTCATCAAAAATGACTAAATCTTGGCCATTGCCAACAATGAACAGTGAGATCACATTCTTTGAAGCATTCAAGTGTCTCAGTTGGTTGGAGAAAATATGAAATTGCCTAATTAATTTTACAATTCTGCTACTGTGTCTCTTTCTGGACCAACTCAAATTATCCTGTCATTAACTACTTTTTTTCCTCCCTAAACCTAAAGAAAGATCAAATGTGGTCACAACAAAAACAAATTTCTGTATGATCAGAGATCTCAGGCCCCATCTAGGGAGCCTGTTCATTCTCAACACCACCATAAAAGAACAAAATTTTAGTTACATGGAAAGAGAGACAGTTTATTGTCATGGGATCAAATCTTTATTTATATATACTTCAGGACAACTATTAAAGTGGTCTCCTCAATCTCATAAGCAATGAGTAGAACCCCAACTGGATTATGGCACAAAAAGTTAAGAAGTATAGATATTTTGTTAATGCTCAGAAGTCATTAAGCCTCATATAGCTGGCTAATAAAAGCTTTCAATTATTGTAATGGAAATTATGAACGTCTACTCCAAACCAAACTCTCTCACTGGACACCACAAATTCTTTTGTATATCAGTGTCAAATCTTCTAATTCTGAAGAAAGATTGATTAATATAAAACATTCAAACATTAGGATGTTGTCTTTAAAGTTTTGGAGAAGTATTATTTTTAAAATTTAGAGGCAGGCAGTTTTTGGCAATTGTGTTACATTTAGGATAGTATCATATTTAATATTTTCAATTTGCAGTTATTTAAAAATACCATTCCACATTTAGCATTAGCTTCTGCATTTAAAGAACTGTAACCATTCACATACAATACCATGACTAAAACCTATAAATATATAAAAGAAAACTGGTAGAAACTTCCTATTAAAAGAAAATCTTACTTTAGGCCAGGGTCTGTTTCTCCATATTCATCCAAGTAAGGGGCTGGATAGGCACAGCCTCTGGCTTTACCTTCAACCAGGACCACTCTGCATTCTCTGATTCTGAAGGGACAAAACAATCAAAAGGAAATACAATTTTTTAAAAAGTTATTATTTTTCTTGAAAGGCAGAACAAGAGAGAGAGAAAGAGTGAGAGGGAAAGGGAGAGAGAGAGAGACAGCCACCTTCCATCCACTAACCCACTAGTTCACTGCCCAAATGCCTGCCACAGCTGGAGCTGGGCCAGGCTGATGACCAGGAGTCAGGAACTCCATCTGGATCTCCCATGTGGGTGGCAGGGACCCAAGCACTTGAGCCATCATCTGCTGCCTCCCAGGGTATGTATTAACAGAAAGCTAGACTTTAAACTGAGATGGGACTCAATATCAGGCACTCCAATACGGGATGTGGAGTCCTAAGCAGTAACTTAACCTGTTGCACCAGGAAATATGATTAAATGCATATGTGCGTATGATAAGCACTGCATCACAGTTAACATATAGAAAAGCCAAGGCCATTATCTGTTAGGAAATCAGTACAGAGATGTCGCTCCCCCTCTTCGCGGAGGAACGACACCAAGCCCTGCCTAGGCTTCATATCCGAGTCACGGCACCATTATGTCGCTCCCCCTCTTCGTGGAGGAACGACACAGGACCCTGCGCTGTTCTTTCTGTCTGCTCGGCCCTCCCCGGGTTTGCTGCTGGTTCTTCCCGGGTTGGCTACTATCCCTTCCACCTCCGTGGAAGGGCAGTTCCCCCTGGCCACATTCCCCACTTCCGCAGGGGAGCGGCACACCGCCGGCCGGTTCTCTCGGGGGCTGCACAGGTGTTCCTTCAGCTAGATGTTCCCCTTAGATGTTCCTGGTGCATGCCGTCTCTCTCCTCCTTTATAGTCCTCCTCTGCCAATCCCAACTCGGCTGCCCACACGCCGAGTACGCTGCTCTCCTCCAATCAGTAGCAAGTCCTACAGTTTATTGGTTGAACTGGAGGCAGCTGTGCAGAAGCTGTTTACTTCTCTCCCAGCGCCATATTGTGGGAGAGCAGATGCATAGAATAAGTCTCAATTCCAGCAACTCAGTCCAGTCCGGGCTGCTCCCCACATAGAGATAATATAAACAGGGACAAATAAACTAAACTGAGTTTTGTCTAAAAAAAGGGAGCAAACATTGTTATCTTTTCTTGAGTCAAGAAGCAAAGATCAGCGGATTTGGGAAAGGCAATCAGCAATATTGACTCACTTAAGGAAGATGCAGACTCCTGCTCCACAGTGAAGTGCATGATAAATGCAAGCTCCAACCTCTTCCCCATTCACGATTTCTTGGCAGCAAATGTTCTGAGAACACAGTATGGCCCCACAGAAAAGACAGAGGACTGGGTGCTTTCGTTCATCATCTGCAGACCGTGGGCACCTCAAAAGGGAAAGAGACATTCAGAATGAGGGAAAACCAAAGCACCATATATCCAATGAGCAATGAAGCATGTTTTCATTACTTGCTCCTCTCCAGCAAATAAAACTCTTAAAACAATGAAACATTTAATAATTCTTCTTTAGTACTTCTCCCTAAGGATATAACAAAAAATTGATTTGTCCACAGTAAGAAAATCTATTAGTAAATATATGGTGTCCTGATAGTTCTTACAAAGTCTGACTATTAGATATGCCTTAAGATTGAGACGTGTTTATGGAATCCTTTTTTGAAAAAAAAAAATTATTTGAGAGACAGAGCAGGAGAAATAGGACAGACTGACAGGAGCTCTATTAAGTTCATTCCCCAGACACCTGCAATGGCTGGGTGTGGGTCAGGACAAAATTGGGAGCCAGGAACCCAATCCAGGTCTCCCATACAGGTAGCAGGAATAAAATCACCTAAGCCATCACCTGTTGTCTCTCAAGGTGCACATCAACAGGAATCTGGAATTGGTAGCAGAACTGAACTTGAACCTAGGTATTCCAGTATGGGATATGGCCTTCTCGAGTATTGCTTTAACTGGTGCACCAAATGCCCACCTCTATCAGGTTTTTGTGTTAGCAATGTAGTCCTAAGAGTAGGAGAATCAGTGAATTTAGAGGCAGTTTCAATCTTTGAAATTATCTAGCTATTTAAATAAAAAATAGACATTTATTTATTTTAAAGGCAGAATGAGAGAGATGGAGTATCAGAGAGAGATCTTCCATCCACTGGTTCACTCATCAAATGGCCAAAACAGCTCTGCCAAGTCAGGTTGAAGCCAGGAACCAGGAACTCCATTCGGGTCTCCCACATGGGTAGCAGGGGCCCAAGCACTTGGGCTATCTTCTGCTGCTTTCCCAGGCTCATTAGTAGGAAGTTGGATTGGAAGTGGAGCAGCCAGGAATCAAAACAGCACACCGATATGAGATGCTGGCCTTGCAAGCAGCAGCTTTACCCTCTGTGCCACAATACCAGTCTCTAGTTGGCTAATTTTTTTAATGTTGAAAGGGAAAGTGATTCAACCATTGCTTTAATTGGCTGATTAGCAAGGGAACTTAAACATCCAGGTCAATTCAACCTGGTAACAGAATGGAGTGTGGGTTACTCAAGCCCCTGCTGGGCCAGTTAAACCCCCTGACTCCAGGGCTTAAAGCAATCAGTTACCAGTAGATAATTAATGAAGTCTTGAATAGGCTATAATTCTCAAACTGCTGAGATTCCTGTAATTACAAGTAACTACAATTTCATGTCACTATTATCAATCTGATTTATGATTAGTGATGTGATATCATCTGAGTGTACAGGATACATTAATACATCAAAAGAAGTTTTACTTTATAATTGTCAAAACCTGATGCATTATGATTCAAGTAAGAATATTTATACTCCAATGGCTGAAGCAGATAGGAATGAAATTCCTCCATTCACTGATATCTCATAGGTAGTCACTGAATTTATGCTATTCAAATAACTTACATGACAATAGACCAAGGTAAGTGTAATAAAATAAATATTTTCAACTTTTTTTCTAAAGAATCATTTTATTTATTTCAAAGAGTTACAGAGAGAGGTAGAGCCAGAGATAGAGCTGAGCTGATCCGAAGCCAGGAGCCAGGAGCTTCTTCCAGGTCTCCCACATGGGTGCAGAGGCACAAGGACTTGGGCCATCCTCCACTGCTTTCCCATGCCATAGCAGAGAGCTGGATTGGAAGAGGAGCAGCCGGGACCCACGCTGGCGTCCATATGGAATGCCAGCACTGCAGGCTGGGGCTTTAACCCATTGTGCCAGAGCCAGCCCCAATATTTTCAACTTTATAGGACATTATTTTATCACATAAAGTCATGTTTAAGCTTATGCTCTTCTCTTGTAAAAGTAACAGGTGTTGTAGTTCCTTTTCCAGTTAAACTGATCAGTAAAAACAGTGTTAAAAAAAAAAAAAAAATTTGAGGGGCTGGTGCTGTGGTGCAGTGGGTAAAGCCACCGCTTGCAGCACTGGCATCCCATATTGGTGCTGGTTCAAGTCCCAGCTGCCCCACTTTGGATCCAGCTCCCTGCTAATGTTCCTGGGAAAGCAGCAGAAGATGGCCCAAGTCCTTGCGCCCTTGCATCCACATGGGAGACCCAGAAGAAGCTCCTAGCTTTGGCTTGGCTCACCCCTGGCCATTGCAGAAATTTGGGGAGTGAACCAGTGATTGCAAGATCTCTCTTCTTCTCTTTGCCTCTGCCTCTCTGTAACTCTTTCAAATAAATAACTAAATTCTTTAAAAAAATTTTTTTTGAGAGCCACTGCTTTTTTCTTAAAATCTGAGACCATTGCATTTTTTTTCTTAAAATCAAGGGATATTGGGGACAGCACTATGGTGCAGTGGGTAAAGCCACTGCTCACACTGCCTGCATCAATATGGGTACCTGTTCAAGTCCCAGCCACCCCACTTCTGATCCAGCTCCCTGCTGATACACCTGGGAAAGCAGCAGAAGATAGCCCAAGCCCTTGGGCCCCTACAACCATGTGGGAGACCCAAAGAGGCTCCTGGCTCCTGGCTCCTGGCTTCAGACCAGCTCAGCTCTGGCTGTTGTGGCCATTTGGAGAGTGAACCAATAGATGAAAAATCTCTCTCTCTCTCTCTCCCCCTCCCTTCCTCCTTCCCTCTCTCCTTCCCTCTCCTCTCCCCCCTCTCTGTAACTCTGCCTTTCAAATAAAACTAAACTAAATCTTAAAAAAAATCACAGGATATTGAAGAACTAGAATGATCAGGACTGCCCCCCCCCTTTTTAAGATTTAATTATTTGAAAGTCAGAGTTACAGGGGGAAGAGAGAGAGGGAGAAAGAGAATTGATTTTCCATCTGCTGGTTCACTCCCAAATTGCCACAACATTCAGGGCTGTGCCAGGCTGAAGTCAGGAGACTGGAACTCCATCTGGCAGGGCCACAAGTATTTGGGCCATCATCTATTGCTTTCCCAGGTACTTTAGCAGGGAGTGGGCTGGAACTGGAGCAACCAGGACTCTAACCATCACTCATATGGCATGCTGGAGTTCAGGCGGTTGCTTAGCCTGCTACCCCACAAGGCTGGCCCCATTTTTTTCAAATTTTTTATTTATTTGAAAGGCAGAGAGACAGAGGCAGAGGCAGAGTAAGGAGGAAGGGGAAGAGAACAGAGAGAGATGGCAAGCACTCTCCCATCTGATAGCCCACTCCCCAAATGCCAAAAACAGTCTGGCCACCAGAATTCCAAAACTCAATCTGGATCTTCCCCATGAGTGAGAGGGATCCCACCATTTGACCCATCACCTGCTGCCCCCCAGGGTGTTTGGGTATTTGCACCAGTAGGAAGTGCAAAGCAGGAGGAGAACTGATATTATATCAGTTGGTACAGTTCCAGCCATTCTGATATGGTACACAGGCATCTGCCTCTCAACCACTGCTCTATGCCTGCTCCCTAGATTTTTTTTTTATTTAATGAATGCATTTTTACATAGATACAACTTTAGGAATACAGTGTTTCTTTCCCTCATGCCCCCCACCGCGTTCCCTTCCCACCTCCCATTCCCTCTCCCATCTCCTTCATTATGGATCATTTTAGTATGACTTTATATACAGAGGACCATCTCTATGCTAATCATAGACTTCAACAATTTGCCCCCACGCCCACACACAATATATAGAGTACAGTTTGGGGAGAGAATTTGCAGTCCATTCTCATATTGCAATTCAATAGGGACAGAGGTCCTACATGGGGAGCAAGTACACATTGACTACTGTTGTTCCTTTAACAATTAACACTCTTTTTTTATGATGTCAGTGATCACCCCAGGCTCTTGTCGTAAGCTGCCAGGGCTATGGAGGCCCTTTGTGACCACAGACTCCATCGGTATTTGGACACGGCCATAAGCAAAGTGGATGTTCTCCTCTTCCTTCAGAGAAGAGTGTCTCCTTCTTTGATGACCCTTCCTTTCCTCTGAGGTCTCGCAGAGATCCTCCATGTAGGGTGGTTGTTTTTTTTCCCCCCAGAGTCTTGTCTTTCCATGCCTGAGATGCTCTTGCAGGCCTTTCAGCCCAACCAGGAAGCCTTATGGGTTGATTCTGAGGTTAGAGTGTTATTTACTGCGAAAGTCATTCTAGGAGTCTCCTGTGTGGACTGTTTCCCATGTTGGTCCTTCCTTCCTTTTTAATTCTATTATTTTTTACCGGGTATTTGATGTTATTTATGTCATCTCTTTTAAACTTAGACCAGTCTGTTGCCTTTAACAGTTAAGTTGATCTTTGTAACACTGAAGATGGTGTTTATACCACCGATTCTTATGGGTTTGGAGCCCCATGATTAGTTCTTAGGCTGTACCCTTAGAGGTGAGTCTATATGCTTGTGTGTATAACTATACTTTTTTTTTTTTTTTTAACAGTTTTAGACTACCTCCTCCATCCTAGATTGCTTTTGACTGATGTAGGAGGGAACATGATGCCAGAAAAGCCCAAGGGAGTATACTCTTCTCTCCAGGATCCAGACTGAAGCCTGAGTCACAATGCTATTACCCGTTCCGCTGTTACAAGTTTAAAGGGTTGCTATGTAAGATTTTTTTTTTTTGAAAAGAGTTGTTGAGACTTAAAAATAAATAAACTGATGGTGGTGCAGGGAGATCCAGGAAGCAACCCCTCTAATAAAACAATCACTGAACTGACAGGAACTGTTTAAAGCAATGATTTTGGAACTCTTGAGTCTAGATGAACACTTGCTGCATCATGGGAGTGCGTGATAAAGGGGGGTCTGGCAAATTTCATGAATTTCAGCACTTTGTACGGCAGCTACCAGCCTCTGTCCCCGGCCCTCTGCAGGCAGCTATGGAGATAATGCCTTGTTTTCCTGGTGTGGCTTGTTTATGCCAGCATGGGCCACAGGGATCTTGTCCTCCAAAAACTGGGACTGTAAGTTTAGATTTGCTGGTGGTTCACTGAGGGTCTGGCAAGGATGTGAAAAAACAGGAGGCTTCACACAATGCTAGCAGGAATCTGAAATGGCACAGCCACTGTGGTCCCTCCAACTGTGAAACAAAATTATCCTGTGTCCCAGCAATTCCATGTTAGGCATATATCCAAAAGAAATGAAAACACACTTCCATGCAGAACTGTGCATCGGTGTTAATAGCTGCACGATTCATAACAGTCCGAAGGGGCTGACAGAATATAAAGGCTCATCAAGGGATAAAGGAACACACTGTGGGATAAACTTACAGTGGAGTATTATTTAGCCCAGAAAGGAAGAAAGTACTGATACACTACAATTTAGATAAACCACAAAATGAAATAAGTCAGATGTAAAACGTCACCTACTGTAGGATGCCTTTTATATATCCAGAAAAGGCAAATCCAGAGAGAAAGAAAGTAGATTATTAGTTATCAAGGGATAGGAGACAAAGAACATAGGGAAGGATTAGCGGTACAAGGTGCTTGGGATGACAAAAATGTTGTGAAACTAGAGAAAAATGGTTGTCACATAACATTTGTGAATTGACTAAATGTATACTTTATCATGATTAACTGTATGCTATGTATGTTTCACATCAATTTAAAGAAGAGATTGATAATCACTGCAATAGAGATGTTCAGTTATTGTCTTAGAAAAAGTTAACTAGTTGTAGTGTATGCAAATTGCAAGCTCAGAAAAAGATTTAAATATGTATATGTATACATATGTAGGTGTGCAAACACCCACCCACACATACATATACACACATACATTCTTTCTTTCTCTTCTTACCTGAAATGAGAAGCTTGATTTAAGAGGCAGCTATAGTCATCAGGAAGCTCAATCAAGCTATTTCTTTTTCTAGGGTACCTAGAAATGTAATTTAAAAGGCAATTTTATGTATGAGTCAATAAGCCCAGATCAAAAATTGGCCAACATGATAGAAGAATATCTTAAAAATAAGCAAAGAATCCATAATTACAACCCAAACTAATTCCTACCATTGACTACATTAATTCCAAATTTCATAGGCTACAATTCCAAATTTTTCATTAGCTGGCTACTTCCCAAACTCAACACCCAGTATTTCCTAAGACTAAACTGCTCTGGCTGGATTTCCATACTGTCTAGAAAGGTAACATAAAGCAGTGGTTAAGAACTCAGCTTTTGAAATCAGACAAGTCAAACTAAAAATCTCAATTTTTCTGATACTCGAGAAATCTCTGAACATAAGCCTGCTATTTTTTCATATATATACTAGGGTTGAAATGTATTACATTCCAATTATGGGCACTCCATCAATGTACTAATAGGTTTTCATGGGGATAAAGAGAAAAACATCATATTAAATGAACTCATCAGTTGAAAGACTCACCCTGATTTAGGAAATGTTAAATGTGAGCAATACCATCAAGGAAACTCACAGGGCTGTTGGAGGCTAAATGAGACACTGAAGTGAAACATACTTAGAACTTGATACATGCTGGCAAATGTTATTATTCATTCTCACCATGCTAGATAAAATAAAAGCCTTATTTACATGTCCTCCAGAAGATTATCTGAGTAATATGGAATTCCTTCCTCACATTCCAATTAATTTAAATTCCAGAATTCTTCCTACATTCAGCTAAAAATGATTTCCTCTTACACTAGTTCTGCCTCATTAACAACTTTTTCCTCTTTAGATTTCTATTGATTTAATGATATATCCCATATATTATTATACTGTATGTTATAGTGTGTTAGGTCTCATGTTTATAACTATACTGCAAATTACCCATGACCAAAAGCTGTATTTGTTACCCAGAATATTTCAGTACCATGGAGGGGAAACAGCTACAAGCCACACAATGACTTGAAATACAGGAAAAACTGTGAGACTCACAATACAAAAATATGTTCTCATATCTTACACTTTTCACTCCTCTCTATTCTGAGATCTTTCTTTTTTTTTAAGATTTATTTTATTTATTTGAAAGGCAGAGTTACAGAGAAAGAGAGAGAGAGTCTTCCAACCGCTGTTCACTCCCCAGATGACTGGAACGCTGTAGCTGCATCAATGCGAAACCAGGAGCCAGGAGCTTCTTCTGGGTCTCCCATGCAGGTGCAGGGGCCCAAGAATTTGGGTCATCTTCTACTGCTTTCCCAGGATATAGCAGAGAGCTGGATCGGAAGTGGAGCAGCCAGGACTCGAACTGGCACCCATTTGGAATGCCAGCATTGCAGGCGGAGGCTTTACCTGCTGCACCATAGTGCTGGCCTCTAAGATCTTAATTTTCTTGGTGATGTGAATAATGCTAAGCACAAGAGTGGATCTATTACCACTAAATCAGTGAAGCTGGGTTATAGTAGAAAGCAGTCTATGGATTTCTGTAATATCTAGAAAGGTAATAAAGCAGTGAATGGAAATGAGTTTGAGGGGTGAGAGAAGATGAAAAAATAAAAAGGTACACTGTCTCATAATTTTTGTTTTATCCACAGAAACATGGTACTAGTGTTGGTATTTATAGCTGAGGGTCAACTTCTCTGCTTGTTTATTGATGCAGTTAAATTTGAATAAAAATAAGACATTGCATAACACAAACCAGGCCTGAGAGAGAATACAAAAAAGATGAACATGCAGCTCTTAACCTTGTGGAATTTACTGTTTAGTGATACAGAATTTACTGTTTAGTGATCTTAGATTATAATTAACACTGATATTCTAAAAAGCAAAAAGGTTAAGTTTTTTAAGGTAAGTTCAAGTGCCTGATAAAGTAGTAAAATTGTTACTGTATATTAAAAGGGTCCCAGGGTTCAAAAAGACCTAGTCGGGGCCGGTGCTGTGGTGCAGCCGGTAAAGCCATCACCTGCAGTGCCACCAAACCATATGGGCACCAGTTCGAGTCCCTGCTGCTCCACTTCCAATCCAGCTCTCTGCTGTGGCCTGAGAAAGCAGTAGAAGATGGCCCAACTCCTTGGGCCCCTGTACTGTGTGGGAGACCTGGAAGAAGCTCCTGGATCCTGGCTCCTTGCTTTGGATCAGCTCAGCTCTAGCCATTGCAGTCCTTTGGGGAGTGAACCAGCAGATGAAAGACCTCTCTCTCTCTCTCTCCTCTCTCTGTGCAACTCTGACTTTCAAATAAATAAAATAATTAAAAAAAAAAAAAACACACAGAAAAGTTTCTGGGTAGTTTCTAGGCATACACATAGGAAGGGAAAGAAGGAGAGAGAGAGTTCTATTTATATCTATATCCTCAAAAGAAAAAAGGAGTTTCTAGAAATACTATAAACCACTACCCTCTGATTTTAATATACCAGCAGATCTTTTGTCTTCTAATGGGCAAGCACTAGCTTAGTGAAAATTCTCTTACGAGGAGCCGATGACTTCAAATAATTTAACAGACAAAAGACAGTCCATTCAAGAAAAACGAATAGCATGAAAAAAATTTGATTTCAGAGAAGGAGCTAGCAAGAGATCCAGTAAGCAATGCACTGAGAAAGAAGAAGGTAGTCTACAAAGCACCACTCAACCAACAACTTTAGGAACACACCATGTGGATGGGAGAAAAAGCATCAAGCAGTAAAACCAACCTGATCACAGTGCCTTTCTGCTTCAAACAGTTTAGTAAGGCAGGGTCTGCACACCACCTATATTTGGAGCCAAGAGAAAAAGCAAATGAATCATCACAACTTCAGCATAATATTTGTCAACAAGCCATTCTCTCCAGTTCTGTTCCTTTCTTCTGTGTTTTTCCTATATTTCTTTGATCTTAAACCTTGCCCCTTTCTTTCTCCTTGTAGTTTTTATTGGTTTTTTTTTTTTTTTTTTTTTTTTGACAGGCAGAGTTATAGACAGTGAGAGAGAGAGACAGAGAGAAAGGTTTTCCTTCCATTGGTTCACTCCCCAAATGGCTGCCATGGCCAGTATGCGCCGATCCGAAGCCAGGAGCCAGGTGTTTCTTCCCAGTCTCCCTGTGGTTGCAGGAGCCCAAGCACTTGGGCCATCCTCCACTGCCCTCCCGGGCCACAGCAGAGAGCTGGACTGGAAGAAGAGCAACTGGGACTAGAACCCAGCGCCCACATGGGATGCCAGCGCCACAGGTGGAGGATTAACCAAGTGAGGTACGGTGCCGGCCCCTCTCCTTGTAGTTTTAAAAAATTATTTATGGGCCGGCGCCGCAGCTCACTAGGCTAATCCTCCGCCTTGCGGCACCGGCACACCGGCTTCTAGTCCCAGTCGGGGCGCCAGATTCTGTCCCGGTTGCCCCTCTTCCAGGCCAGCTCTTTGCTGTGGCCAGGGAGTGCAGTGGAGGATGGCCCAAGTCCTTGGGCCCTGCGTCCCATGGGAGACCAGGATAAGTACTTGGCTCATGCCATCAGACCAGCACGGTGCGCCGGCCGCAGCGCACCGGCTGCGGCGGCCATTGGAGGGTGAACCAACAGCAAAGGAAGACCTTTCTCTCTGTCTCTCTCTCTCTCACTGTCCACTCTGCCTGTCAAATAAAAAAAATTATTTATTATTTGAAAATCAGAATGACGGGTGGGAGGGGGAGATATCTTCCATCCGCTGGTTCACATGCCGAATAGCTGAAAACCAGGCACATTAGCAGAGAGCTGGATCAGAAGCAGAGCAGTTGAAATTTCTTGAACTGGCACTCCAATATGGGATGTCACAGGCAGTGGCTTAACCTGCTATGCCACGGTGCAAGCTCCCTCCCTGTATCTTTTTCCCTCTATTTTTTTAAAAAGAGTTTGTCAATCAAAGACTTACTAAAAAAACAGAAACCATTGTTAGTATTTCAAAAAGAAGGATTTTTTAAAAGTCTATTATCTTATTTTTTTCTTTATTTAAAAATCAGAGTGACAGAGAGACAGAGATATCCCATCTACTGGTTCACTCCCCAAATGCCTGCTGGGTCAGGCCAAAGCCAAGAGTTTGGAACTCAATCCAGGTATCTCACAGGGGTGAAAGGCACCCAATTACTTGAGTTATCACCTGCTGCCTCCGAGGGTGCATATTAGCAGGAAGCTGGACCTAGGAGTGGAGCCAGGACTTGATCCTACACACTCTAATATGATATATGGGTATCCCAAGTGGTCTCTTAACCACTGCACCGAACACTTGCCTCTGAATTTTTAATACTATACTAAACTATAGTAGTAAGTCCAAAATTTAAGTAATCTAAGAATATAAAAATATAATTAGTACAACCTACTGTGATGGTGCTTATCAAAACCCATAATACTGATTTTTTTAAAACAATTCATTCTGATAATACTGGAACCCAGAATACCCATGAGAAATAAGGAGGCAAAGAAAAGAAGTTAACAGAAAAGGGGCCAGCGCTGTGGCATAATGGATAAAGCTACCAGGGTCGGTGCTGTGGCATAGCAGATAAAGCCACCGCCTGCAGTGCTGGCATCCCATATGGGCTCCAGTTCGAGTCCCGGCTATGCCACTTCTGATCCAGCTCTCTTATATAGCCTGGGAAAGCAGTAGAAGATGGCCCAAGCCCTTGGGCCCCTGCACCTGCATGGGAGACCCAGAAGAAGAACCTGGCTCCTGGCTTCAGATCAGTCCAGCTCTGGCCGTTGTGGCCAACTGGGGAGTGATGGAAACCTCCCCCCACCCTGCCTCCCCTCTCTGTGTATTAACTCTGACTTTCAAATAAATAAATACATCTAAAAAAAAAAAAAAAAAAAAAAAACCAGAAAGGAAGAGTGACAGGAGACAGAGGCTGACGCAAGTCCTGATGGGGGCATGGAGGGAGAAAGACATTGATTAAAGAAAACAGAGGGGCTGCTGCCATGACACGCTAGGTTAATCCTCCACTTGCAGCGCCAGCATCCCATATGGGCGCCGATTCTAGTCCCGGTTGCTCCTCTTCCAGTCCAGCTCTCTGCTGTGGCCTGGGAAGACAGTGGAGGATGGCCCAAGTGCTTGGGCCCCTGCACGCACATGGGAGACCGGGAAGAAGCACCTGGCTCCTGGCTTCGGATTGGTGTAGCTCTGGCCATTGCGGCCACTCAGGGAGTAAACCAATGAAAGGAAGACTTTTCTTTCTCTCTCTCTCTCTCTCTCTCTCTCTCACTGTCTGTAACTCTACCTGTCAAATAAATAAATAAATCTTTAAAAAAAAAAAAAGAAAGAAAAATGAGGAAGAGAAAAAGCAAGCAGACTAAAGAAAATCATGAGGGAATAAAGTGAGAGTAGCACAGGGAGAAGTGATTATAGAACTGACAGAAAATGATGTAGGAAAACACAGGTAAGGAGGCTGGAGGTTAAGGAGGGTTGACACTGAATAGCAGAGCCAGTGAAAACAGGGAAATTTTTTTCTGAAAGACACACTTCCCTCTGGGAAAGTTAACTGACCTTTCAATGTCTTTCATCTGCCAAATAACTTTTCTTGTATCCTCAGTCACCTGACTGAGACGTACGCTGCCAAATGAGATGCAATTTGGGTTCTTTTGATACTGAACTATGACTTTATGTCTGCTAGCCACATCCCCTCTTCTCTACCTGACTTAAAACTTGGGCGAAACATCAGCCATAGGGAGAAAAGTAAAATGCACGTTAGTCATAGTGCAGCAAGCAGCAAATGCCTGCTGCTGCCAGTCTCCCCCCTCCTCAAGTGCGTGAATTACGATTCTTCTCTACTTTCGCCACCCCTTCCATCAATGCCAACCATCCTAAAAGCTTAGCAAACACTTTTAATTTAGAATTTACAAACAAAATAGTAGCCCAACAATGCCCCCATAGTACCTCTGAAGCAAGGGCCTTACGGTATCCCAATATTCCTGGAAAAGCAGGAACAAATTTGTGGGTAAAGACAGATAATTGCAGAGTGCATTGTATTCTCCTTCTGCAGAATCTGTAAGAGCAGAAAAATACATTTTATAAACACATTATTCTACCTGGTCGATCTGTCAGCAGAGATTCTTCATTGCTATGCTCATTTCTAAATGCTATATAGAGAAAGTATAGCTGGTACTTGATAAAATTGTGGGTGGCAAACAAGCCACAGAGATCCTTTTAGAACATAAGTCTGGGTGAGTCACTCTTCTGATGAGATGGCTCCAATGTCTAACTACCACACTTAGTGTAAAATGTGTAAAAATGGCTTAAGGGCCCCAAGTGAGCTGCCTCCTATTGCCTCCTAGATCTCATCTCTCGCTTTTCCTCTCCTGTTCATTAGGCATCAGCCATTCTCGTCTCTTTGCCTATGCCAAATTATGCTTTTGTGTTTATCTTTTCTTCTGCTTAAAAACACTCTTCCTTCAACTGTCTGCCTAGCATAACCTCATGCATGCAGCTATTTGTCCAATGTCTCCTTGCAGAGAAGTTTTCCATGACTACATCCCAAAGAGTTTGCCACTCTGCCCCAGTACACTCTATTCACATGCTCGGCTTTATTTCTTCTTGTCGTATTTATCACTGTTTGATATTATATTATACAAATTTATCTGTTCATTTGCATTTGTTATTGACATTCACTGCCAGAGTATAGGCATCTAGGAGATGAACAAACACATGAGTTTTGTGTATGTGCCAATATCAGATCTGTACTAGCAAATAGTTGGAAAGTAGCATCTTGTGTTTTTCTTCTTTCTTTTTTGATTTTCTCAGCATTGTATTTTGTATAGAATCAAGATAAACCTAGGTCAGATAAATCCAAGTGAACAGAGCTCAAGATAAAGAAGTTGATAGTAAAGGTGATCTGGTCATTTTATTCTCAAAAGACAAAAGAAGAATCTCTGAGGAATTTTGACGACTCTCCCAAAGTCATACAAACATTCTAATTTTTAGCCTTCTCTACTTAGCTCTAGACTTAGAGGCAAGTAAATAAGAAAGAAAATGACTCTATTGCTTAACTTTATGTAGCTTTGGTTGATTCCCACAGATCTTTCCCAGCAGCATTTTAATTCTTTAATGGTCATATGTTGAAATTTCAAATAACAGGGTATACCGTCAAGTCTACTTCCTACTTAAGCTAAATAATTTTCTTCTCTAGAGACAAACAATATTTCCAACCTCTTACTACCCTATCAGTCATATTCTGCAGGCAGGCATTTTATAAACTCAAGCACATAAACAACACAGAAGAGTAGGTCTTGCAGATTATGAGTTGCATCTGGTTTTGGCCTCACTAACCTATACCTGATCACTGGCACATGTTTGAAAGGAGCATAGACAAACTGGGTGGGAAATGAAGTAGTTTTGCCTACTCTAGTGTATGTTTTGGAGCTTGAAGGTTGAGAAAAACAATATCTCCATTTTATACTTTGTGACTTTATTTTCCTACTTACTGGTAAGCAGTTCTTCAGGTGGAGTTACCCCAAGTAAATAGTGGAAAAACAATGCAGCACAGCGTAGGTAGGGGGTGATGCCATTCTTCAAGGAGACCCACAAATACCAGCCAGGGATACCACACCCAGTGCAGCTGAGAGACATTAATTCCAGAACAGAACGGAATATGCATCAGTCTAAAACCCTAGATTTTAACACATCCTCTTTCAAAGTCACAGTTAACCAGTTACTCATTTAATTTTCAAACATACAAAATACTTAAATAGTTAATAACTTCACTTTAAATATTCTATTAAAAGTATTTATTTATGTGAGAGGCAGAGATACAGAGAGAGATAAAGATGCCTTTCATCCACTAACTCCCTAAATGCCCACAACAGGTGTGGCTAGGCCAGGTTGAAGCAAAGAGCCAAGAACTCAATCTGGTCTCCCACATGGGCAGCAGGGACACAATGACTCGAGTCACCACCTGCTGCCTCCCACGGTGTGCAACAGTAGGAAGTGGGAGTCAGGAACTGGGACCAGGAACTGAACTCAGGTTCTCTGATGTGAGATGCAGGTGTTCTAACTGGCATCTTAACCACTAGGCCAAATGCCCGCCCCCTCCTGTATACTTTAAATCATGTCTGGATGTTTTTAATACTTCATGTAATATAACCATTAAGTAACTAGTACTTAATACTGCATTGCTAGGGACTAATCACAAGACTATAAAGTTTGTACATATTCAATACAGATGCAATTTTTAAAAATATTTTTGACCTGTGACTGGCTGAATCTGAGGATGCAAAATCTAACAAGGATGGCCAAATGTAATCAGTTAAGTGAATCAAGCACACCAATTGCATGGGTGGCTGTAGAAGAACAACTCATTTTCTACTTTCTGCATTCTCGTAAATTTTAAATATTGCCATTTGTTAAAATTCCATCATCTTATGCCTGTGTTCTCATAGTTTAAAAAAAGTAAACAATGATGTATCAAACTTGTGTTAGTCTCATCAGCAAGTAGGTAGATTTTATTCCAACATACTATCTTTTATTTCAAGGTAAAATCACCAAAATCATTTTTATTTTCAATATAAGCCTATCTTGTGACAAAGTCACATACTAAAAGCCTTCAACTGATTTTAAAATCTGGAATTAAAATGGTTTATCTGGAGCGTCCTGCCAAGCAACTGACAGAAATGGAGTTATTAACACAATGCTACTGAAGCAGAGTAGACTAATGGACTATTACTCACCCACTTGTATACTGGGAAACCTCTGCAAAGAAAGACGAAGCAGATCGAGCCTCTTCACTGTCTTCCTGAACTTGAGTAAGGGGGAGGCCTGAAAAAGAAATCCGTAAGATGAATTTATGAATTTATTATTTAATTTACAAATTATACCATTTTCATGGTTCTACAATAATGCTGATTCAGAGTGGACTCTTTCCTTTGTTCTCAATTCTAAATAGTTGGCTCTGAATGTTAAAAACTTTATGTAAATTTTGTTTATCTGTATACTAGCTGGAGAGACCAATAAAGCAGAATCTACTAAATACGATGCTTAATAGTGACTTACTAAGTACAGATGTTTAAAATGTACTGCCCAGGGACTAGTGCTGTGGTGCAGCAGGTTAAGCCACTGCTTACAACGCCAGGATCCCACATATCGGAGTGCTCTGAGTTCCTAAGAGTCTTAGTCTAAAAGAGAAGCTTGTATGTCTACAAAGCGAAGTTATTCAGTCTTCACCTTCTGCATTCACCCTCCAGCTAAGAGCCCCATGAAAACAATCTTGTGAAGTTGTCTTCCTCCACTGACCTTTCCTTAAGGAGGACCATTCCAAATCTTTCTGTTACTCAGAGTAAGGTTCTGGGTAAGCCACTTAAGCTCTCCGAACTTCAGTTTTATTTTATCAAAATGGAGATTAAGGGTAGGCATTTGGCTTGGTAGTTAAGATTTCAGTTAAAATTCCCATATTCAATACTGCAGTACCTGTGTTCAATGTCTGGCTCCAGCTACATGCCAGTACAGACCTTAGGAGGCAGCAGATAACAGTCCAAATAGGTCCCTGCCACTTGAGTAGAAGATCTGGACTGAGTTCCTGGCTGCAGGCTCAGCTTTTGAGGCATTTGGGGAGTAAAACAGTGGATGGGCTATCTCTGTCTCTTGAATTATAATAAAAAATTGAGATAAAAATGCCTATTGTTGGAGCAGGCATTGTGGTACAGTGGCTTAGGATACCCATAACCCATATTAGAGTGCTTTTCAAGTCCTGGCTGCTCTGTGCTTCTGATACTGCTCCTTGCTCCACACAGCTTGATGGTCCGAGTACTTGGGTTCCTGCCACCCACACTGGAGTCCTGGATGGAATTCCTGGCTCCTGGTTTTAGTCTGGCCCAGCCACAGCTGTTGTGAGCATGTGGGGAGTGGATCAGTAGATGAAAGTGCTCTCTTTCCAAAACCATCCTTCTGTTCACCATCACTCTGCCCTCCAAATAAATACATAAATCTTTTTAAAAATGCCTACTTTGCAGTTTGCTGTGAGGGATGATTATAGCATATTTAAACAGTGTTCTGATGCTTAAAAAATAACTTTTGGAAAAGCTTTCACATATGCATTAATTCATCTAAAAGGTCACAACTAAAATTACCCTGCGTAATTTTTATATTATCATAGCTGAATACCACTAGTTCTTTTCATTTTTCCAAATAAGATCTCCTTGCCGGGGCCTGGGGTGGGGAACAAGTGTTTGGTATAGCAGGTAAGACCAAGCAGTGGGTCCAGCACTGTGGTGTAGTGGGTAAAGCCCCATAAGGGCGCTGGTTTGTGTCCTGGCTGCTCCATTTCTGATCCAGCTCCCTGCTAATGACATAAGAAAAGCAGCAAAAGACGGCCCAAGTGTTTGGGCCCCTGCCATCCACATGGAAGACCCCAATCAAGCTCCTGGCTTTGCCGTGGCCCAGTGCTGGCTGTGGTGGCCATCTGGGTTGTGAACCAGCGGATGGAAGATTTCTCTCTCTCCCTCTCACTCTTTTAACTCTTTCAAAATAGATCTTTTTTTAAAAAAAAAAATTATCAAGTAGTTAGGTCACAGCTACCTGAAGACAGAGAAAGCAAGGTAACAGCTGGGGTGGTGAGAAGGTGGGGCAAGAGAAGCCAGCATCCAGGAACTCAATCCAGGTCTCCCACATGGGTGGCAGGAACCCAATTACTTGAGCCATCACTGCTATAATCTAGGATCTGCATTAGCAGGAAGCTGTAATCATGAATCAAACCAGGTACTCTGCTAAAGGATGTGGGTGTCCCAAGTGGCATTTTAACCACTTTGTTAAATGCCCATCCTAGAAGTTTGTTTGACCATTCTTTTTTCTTTTTTTTTTTTAAGATATATTTTATTTATTTGAAAAACAGAGTTACAGAGAGAGGTAAAGACAGAGAGAGAAAAGTGTTTCATGCAATGGTTCACTCCTCAAATGGCCACAATGTCTGGAGCTGAGCTGATCCAAAGCCAGGAGCCAGGAGCTTCTTCCAGGTCTCCCATGTGGATGCAGGGGCCCAAGGATTCAGGCTATCTTCCACTAGTTTCTCAGGAGCACTAACAGGGAGCTGGATCAGAAGTGGAGCAGCTAGGACTTGAACCCATTAGGGGTACTGCTGGCTGGGGCTTTAACCTGCTGCACCATACTGCTGGTCCCAGATTCTGACCATTCTAATAAGTGTACAGTGCTATCTTAATGTGCAATTCCCTAATGATATATAGATGCTGAACACTTTTTTTTTTTTTTTTTTTTTTTTTTGACAAGCAGAGTGGATAGTGAGAGAGACAGAGAGAAAGGTCTTCCTTTGCCGTTGGTTCACCCCGTAATGGCTGCTGCGGCCGGTGCACCACGCTGATCCAGATCCAGGAGCCAGGTGCTTCTCCTGGTCTCCCATGCAGGTGCAGGGCCCAAGGACTTGGGCCATCCTCCACTGCACTCCCAGGCCATAGCAGAGAGCTGGACTGGAAGAGGAGCAACCGGGACAGAATCCGGCGCCCCGACCGGGACTAGAACCTGGGGTGCCGGTGCCATAGGCAGAGGATTAGCCTAGTGAGCTGTGGCGCCAGCCAGATGCTGAACACTTTTCCACATGATTACTTGCCATCGTGTCTATTTTCTTTGGTGAGGTGTTCTTTAAAGATTTTGTCCTTTAAATTGGGTTGTTTTCTTTCCTCCATTTTATTGATGAGTTGACTACATTTATGTGGGTCCACTTCCAGGCTCTCTATTCTGTTCCACTGTCTCTTCTTTTGCCAGTCACACACTGTCTTTATTACTGTAACTTTACAGAAAGTCTTATGGCAGAGTAGTGTCAGCCTTCCAACTGTGTTCTTCTCCTTCAGTACTCAGCTGGATCTTCTGGGTTTTTTCTTCTCTGTATAAACTTTAGAATCAATTTGTCATTATGTATAAAATAACTTGCTGTGATTTTCATGGGGAGATTATTGGGTTTCTACTTAACTTTTCTGATTTTACTCTTGTGTCTCTTCCCTTTTATATTTAAAATCTTGATTTCCATTACTTATTTAGTATATCCTCAAAATTAACACTTGTATTCCCCAAATTATTAACCAACACTAGGTACCACTACTATGATTTCAATTCAGGATTATTTGGGGGCAGTAGTTTGTTGTCAAAATACATCCCACTAGGGAAGTATAACTGAAATATTGTGATTTATTTATCCTTTTAAAATCACTTTTTAAAAAAAATTTTATTTATTTTTCATCTACTTGAAAGGCAGAGAGACAGCAAAAGCAAAAAAGCTCTCTGTGATCTGCTGGCTCACTCCCCAAAGGCCTGCAACAACTAGGGCTGGACCAGGCTAAAGCCATAAACCTGGAAGTCAGTCCTGGTCTCTCACGTGAGTGGCAGGAGATACAAGAAGCAGGAAGGTATGGAATAACAATAGGATATATTCACAAATAACCACACAAATAACAAATGCTACAAGGCAAACAAAAAGCTGTCATTCTACTGTTGAGGAATCAAGAATGATTCCTTTCAATAAGATAGGATTATCAAAGTTCTCAGGACAAGCCTTGGAAAGACCTTCAAAATGGAGAATTAAAACAAACCAGAGGCCGGCGCCGCAGCTCACTAGGCTAATCCTCTAGCCTGCGGCGCCAGCACACCGGGTTCTAGTCCCGGTCAGGGCGCCGGATTCTGTCCCGGTTGCCCCTCTTCCAGGCCAGCTCTCTGCTGTGGCCAGGGAGTGCAGTGGAGGATGGCCCAAGTGCTTGGGCCCTGCACCCCATGGGAGACCAGGATAAGTACCTGGCTCCTGCCATCGGATCAGCGTGGTGCGCCGGCCGTAGCACGCTGGCCGCAGTGGCCATTGAAGGGTGAACCAATGGCAAAGGAAGACCTTTCTCTCTCTCTGTCTACTCTGCCTGTCAAAAAAAAAAAAAAAAAAAAAAAAAAAAAAAAAAAAAAAAACCAGAGAAAAACAGGTCCAAATAGACAGGCAGGTGCAAAGTAATGAGGGAATCATGTTGTTTCAGATAACTATCTCTTTAATACCTTATTCTACTTTTCTCTGTCTAAATAGTATCCACGAAGAAATAAACAAATAATCATTCAATGAGAGGCATAATATAAAACTCAGACACAAAAAAATGGCTTATCACAGCACAATGAATTTGGGCAACAAAGCATAGACAAATATTCTTCACAGTCAACATTCACAGAGGAGCTTTACCTGTGTCTATTGTAAGAAGTATCTGAAGCATGTGTGCCATGGTGATCAAATGGAAGAGATAAAGGTGGTTATAGGAAGAACTAATTGATGAAGGCTGCAGATCAACTGTGTCATCCCAGTATAGAGATGGAAATGCTAAGACAGCACCTACCTGTGAGAGAAAAATGGACATCAACATGGATAATAGCAAAAACCCAATACAAATACAAATACAACTAAATGTAAAGGGTACCAAATGCTGTGCTGTGGGGTTTCTAAATAACCACTATATTTTTCCTAGTTATTCGGCAGAGTATCTTAGAATATACCATAAATGAAAGACAAAGTTCATTACCAAACAGTTACCTTTTGCTGGACCTACTTATTCTGGGTCTAGGTGGTGGTTCCAACTACGTGTTTCAGAAGACTCAACATTAAAATCACTTGGGGAGTTTTTCAAATAACATAACCACATCCTACCCCAACTAAATATGAACCTCTAAGATTCAGTTACCAGTACTCTTTTCAAGGATTCCAAAAATTCCAAGTGAGAGTCAGGGTTGACAACCACTGGATTCTAAAGGTCAGAACAATTGAGGGATAGAGATGGCAGCCAACCCTGCAGTCATAAACTCCATGTTCCCTATGCATATCGCCACCACTTTCTGAACAGAACTCAGTTTGAAGGAATGGAAAAGCTCTGCAAGAAATTACAAAACAGGGGCCAGCATTTTGACGCAGCAAGTTAAGCTGCCACCTGACACTGGTATCCCATATGAGCACCAGTTTGAGTCTTAGATGCTCTACTATTTACTATTTCTTTCTTTCTCTCTCTCTCTCTCTCTCTTTCTCTCTTTCTTTCTTTTTTTGATAGGCAGAGTTAGACAATGAGAGAGAGAGAGAGAGACAAAGAGAACAGTCTTACAGTCTTCCTTCCATTAGTTCACCCCTAAGTGGACGCTATGGCCAGCGCGTTGCGGCCAGCACGCTGCGCCGTTCCGAAGCCAGAACCAGGTTCTTCCTCCTGGTCTCCCATGTGGATGCAGGGCCCAAGCACTTGGGCCATCCTCCAACTGTCTTCCAGGGCCACAGCAGAGAGCTGGACTAGAAGAGGAGCAACCGGGACAGAATCCGGCGCGCCCACCGGGACTAGAACCCGGGGTGCCGGCGCCGCAGGCGGAGGATTAGCCTAGTGAGCCGCGGTGCCGGCCTCCAGATGCTCTACTTTTGATTCAGCTCTGTTACTGGAAAACAGAGGAAGATGGCCCAAGTGTCTGGGACCCTGCCACCCATGTGGGAGACCTAGAGGAAGCTCCTGGCTCCCATTTTCAGCCTGGCATAACCCCAGCAGTTGTGGCCATTTTGGTAGTAAACCAGCAGATAGAACTCTGTCTCTCTAACTCAGCCTTTCAAATAAATAAAAAAACTTAAGAAATTTCACCAGGTCTACAAGTGTTTTGAGAAAGCCAAAAGACACCCATGGCCTAGTCTCTACCAACAAATAATTAATGACTTTAAAATAGCTTACACTGTCATTCATTGCTTATGATATAAAAAAGAAAATGGGGGTGGGAGGAAGGATTATATTGAGTTAGAAAAAGTTTGCTTGCACAAGTACCAGCTAATAAAATCAATTAGGACAAGACTTATTACAAAGTAAAAGGTAAATGTGCTATTATATTATAGAGTGATTTTGACGGTTTCCATGTACTCTGTACCTGTTTATAAATAGAATGGATAAGGGAGCAAAATTTACAGGTTGAAAACTAATAATTTGTAATCTTGAACAGAGAGCATAAATTTGAACGAGAAAACCACATGAAATTATAAACTTAAGTGACTTGAAAAAGTTGTACTGAATACTTACCAAAACATGAAATAAATCTATAGATAGAAGACATGGTGTATCTTCTGATTTTAGGTTAGGAAGAACAACTAAAAAAAAAAAAAAAAAAAAAAAAAAGACAAGAAGTTAATATAATTCAGTCAGCAAGACAAAATGAAAGCTAAAAAATATCTAAAATGACAATATAACAGGGTTATAAAACATAGAAACTGCTACTTCACAGCTTTAAGATATGGGAATATAATCAAAGACAAATTGAGAAAAGTCTCTTAAAAAATCTCAGATACAATTTAAGCTTGAAAGATAAGATCTCAGAGGGTAAGATAAATGAACCAGGGTAAGTGAGACAAGGATTTCTCAATAATGAATCAATAGAGTTGCTTTTATACAATGTTCCTTTGATCACTTTCCCCACTAACTGTACATTCTCAAGTGTTCTGTGATACGGAATATGTGAATACATTTGATACTAAGAGCATGGAGAATACACAAAGCAGTACGGGTGAAATGAGGATGGAGAAAATTCTCCTGAACAAAATTAGGTAATGGGTTATACAGATAATGATCAAGAGGAAATGCAGACTGTTCAAAAGCTATCATCTTTTCTAATTTGGTCAGTCTCTAAGGAAAAGCAATAAATTAGACATTAGAGAAGAGTAGAAAGGAAGTGAAATCAGGAAGTCAGGACAACAGGAATGGTTTTGTCTGAGGGAGGGAACGAATTATTTCTCAGTAAAACTGTTATTTTACAAAATGAAGGAAACAAGACTCTTCTCAAACAAATTTTGAAACCCCAAATCAAGATCCTAAATAATGTTTTGGGATCAACAGACTGAAATATACACTTAAATTACTACATATCTGAGATGGTAATGTTATATATATATATATATATATATATATATATTTTTTTTTTTTTACAGGCAGAGTGGACAGTGAGAGAGAGAGACAGAGAGAAAGGTCCTCCTTTGCTGTTGGTTCACCCTCCAATGGCCGCCGCGGTCAGCGCACTATGGCCGGCGCACCACGCTGATCCGATGGCAGGAGCCAGGTACTTATCCTGGTCTCCCATGGGGTGCAGGGCCCAAGCACTTGGGCCATCCTCCACTGCACTCCCTGGCCACAGCAGAGAGCTGGCCTGGAAGAGGGGCAACCGGGACAGAATCCGGTGCCCCGACCGGGACTAGAACCCGGTGTGCCGGCGCCGCAGGCAGAGGATTAGCCTAGTGAACCGTGGCGCCGGCCTATTGTTATATTTGTTATTGTACAATACTTTTCCTTAGTGTAATGCTCTGAGTCACTTATCTGCAAAGAGAAATGATCTTTGCATAATCCCCATTCATTCTACTTGCTTGAGTTAGTAAATATGCATTGCTGATTTTGATATATTTATTATTTTCATTATCTGCATTAAAAATAGAAAAAAGCAGCAAGGATAAAAAGTCATGTTTATTTTCTACTTTTAAAATAAAAGCTTATTTATTGGTATATAAAGCAGTACAAAATTATCTTTGTTTTTATTTTAATAGCTCAATCTTTGCATAGTTAGCTATGAAAGGAATTCAAAATTATAATATTTCTAATAATATAAAGCTTCACACTCATATGAACTCAAGTCAAAACCATAGTTTTTGAGTCAGGAAAAATAAAATGAACAGAAAGTTAAAAATGTCTAATAAAACAAAAAGCTAATAGACTACCATTTTAAAAAACACATGGCCTTCATATTCTTTGAATTTATTAAGGCAGGTAAGATGAGCTTCAGGAAAAATGATCAATCAATGGTGAAGGATCATAACAGGTGATGAGTTCCAAGCCTCAACTTCTTCTTTAATTTTTCATGCTACTAGGTCAAGTTATTTGACATTCCATGAAGTAAAATTATAAACTATAAAAAGCTTATTAAATCTGTTTAGAAATGGGAAAGAAAAAGATTCTAAACAAAATGCAAAAAGGTTAGATCAGAGGCTTTGGAACTGGACTGAAATGGGTTCAAGTACTAGCTGTGACTATGTGTCACAGGCAAGCAGTAGAACTTCTCTGTCTACACTGCAGACAAGACTGCTGGGAGGCTCATCCACATATGTACTTAGCACTTTCCCCAAGCCTGGTATGTAATAACTACTTAATAATGTTATTAATACTGGCTACATTAAACGTGCTGATTACAGGGTCCTTCCTTTAACCTGCTGAGTGATCCTGACAAACCCCTTGTTGTCTGTAGGTCTCATTTCCTCACAAAATATTTCAGTAACATGAATATTTCTAGGGTGGACATTTGGCTCAGCAGTTAAGATACCACTTGGGTTGTATGTATCTCATATAGAATTTCTGTCTTTGAGTCCCAGCTCTGCTCTTGATTTTAGCTTCCTACTAATGCACACTTTGGGAGGCAGCAGATGATGGCTCAATTACTTGAGTTCTGGCCAACCACATGGGAGACCCAGACTGAGTTTTGGGTTCCTGGCTTTGGCCTGGCCTAGCCCTGACTATCATAGGCATATGAGGGGTTAATTACTGGATGGGAGTCTGTACGGCTCTGCCTTTCAAATAAATAAATAGTTAATATGATTATTTCTGATATATCAGCAATTCCATCACATCACCTAACTTACTTTCTTCTCAGTGTTACAACTCACTTTACTCTCAGGACATTTAAATAACCCCTGAATTCTTTTTCCTGAATTTCATCACATTCTAAGCTGGTGGAAAACTCTTTTTTAAAAAAAGATTTGTTTATTTGAAAGGCAGGGTTAGAGAAGAGAGAGAGAGAGAAAGGAGAGAGAGAAAAACTTCCATTCACTGGTTCACTCCCCAAATGGCCACAATGGGAGAAGCTGGGCTGATCCAAAACCAGGAGTCAGGAGATTCTTCCGGGTCTCCCACATAGGGGGCAGGGGGCAGGGCCCAAGCACTTGGGCCATCTTCCACTGCTTTCCCAGGTGAATTAGTAGGGAGCTGGATCAGAAGTAGAGCAGCTAAGACTCAAAGTGGTGCGAATGAGATGCCAGCACTGCAGAGACGCCAGCGCTGCAGCGGGTAGTTTAACCTGCTAAGCCACAGCGCCAGTCCTGGAATACTCTTTTTCTTTTTTCTTTCTTTTTTTTTTTTAAGATTTATTTTATTTAATTGAAAGGCAGAGGGGCCGGTGCCGTAGCGTACTAGGTTAATCCTCTGCCTGTGGCGCCAGCATCCCATATGGGCGCCAGTTCTAGTCCCAGTTGCTCCTCTTCCAGTCCAGCTCTCTACTGTGGCCTGGGAAGACAGTGGAAGATGGCCCAAGTGCTAGGGCCCCTGTACCCACATGGGAGACTGGGAGGAGGCACCTGACTCCTGGCTTTAATCGGCACAGCTCCGGCCATTGCGGCCATTTGGGGGGTGAACCAATGATAGGAAGACCTTTCTCTCTGTCTCTCTCTCTCACTGTCTGTAACTCTACCTCTCAAATAAATAAAAATCTTAGAAGGAAAAAAAAAGGCAGAGTCAGAGAGAGAGAGGTAGAGACAGTACGAGAGAGAGAGAGAGAGATCTTCCATCTGTTGGTTCATTCCCCAAATGGCTGAGCCAGGCAAAGCCAGGAGCCAGGAGCTTCTTCTGATCTCCTACATTGGTGAGGGACCCAGTGACTTGGGCCATCCTCTGTTGCTTTCCCAGGCACAGTAGCAGGGAGCTGGATCAGAAATAGAGAAGCTAGGACTTGAACCGGTACCCAAATGGGATGCTGGTGCTATAGGCAGGGGCTTTAGCCTGCTGTGCCACAGTGCCAGCCCTGGGAATATTCTTTCTATAGTCAAATTTTTCTTAAAGGCAGCTCTGAACTTTTTTATTTCCCTAGTTGATGAAAATATTTTAAATTTCCTTTGAAATCAAAAGTCAGTTTTGGAATGCATATTTTCACTTTATCAAAATTTCTTTTTGCTAATTTTACTACCTCAGCAAGGTTTACATGATGTGAGAAAAGCAAGGTTTCAAATATTAGTTCTGCCTCTTACTGGCTTTATGATTATGAGCAAGTCATAAAATTCTCTGTGCCTCAGTTTTCTTACTGTAAATGGGAATAATGATGACTTCCTTGAAGGATGGTGATTAGAAGAAATAAGACTGCACAATAAAATCCAAGTACAATTCCTAGGACACATTTACAGCAGTGAACATGCATGTCCAATTGCTTCTACAGACTCGAACCAGCATTGTGGGAATTTAACTAGAAGCAAAGGTACCTCCCTCAACAGATTATCAAGGTAAAGCTGGTCTACCCATTAGAAAAAAAGTCTGCCTGTTCAGCTAGAAAAAAACCTCCCTAATTTTTTTTGTTAGTTTGTTTTTTTGTTTTTTAAGATTTATTCATTCATTTGGGGCTGTGCTGTGGCACAGCAGGTAAAGCTTCAGCCTGCAGTGCCAGCATCCCATATGAGTACCGGTTCAAGACCCAGCTGCTCCTCTTCTGATCCAGCTCTCTGCTGTGGCCTGGGAAAGCAGTAGAAGATGGCCCAAGTCCTTGGGCCCCTGTACCCGCATAGAAGACCTGGAAGAATCTTCTGGCTCCTGGCTTCGGATCAGCTAAGCTCTGGTCATTGCAGCCATTTGTGGAGTAAACCAACAGATAGAAGACTTCTCTCTGCTTCTCTGTAAATATACCTTTCAAATAAATAAATAAATAAATATTTTTTAAAAAGATTTGTTCATTTATTTGAAAGGCAGAGTTACAAAGAGGCAGAGGCAGAGAGAGAGAGAGAGAAAGAGAGAGGTTTTCCATCTGCTGGTTTACTCCACAAATGGCTGCAATGGAGCTGGGCCAATCCGAAGCCAGGAGCTTCTTCTGAGTCTCCCATGCAGGTGCAGGGGTACAGGGGCCCAAGGACTTGGGCCATCTTTTATTGCTTTCCCAGGCCATAGTAGAAAGCTGGATTGGAAGTGGAGCAGCCAGGAATCGAACCAATGCTCATATGGGATGCCGGCACTGCAGGCAGCGGCTTTACTCACTAAACCACACTAAACCACAGCACCAGTCCCACCCTGTCTAGTTTTAAGGCTTAAAAATACCTAACATTTGTATTTGGTAGAAACACACACATCTGAAAAATGAAATTGAACCACCATCCCACCTACCTATGGAGTTTTGGACATATGAACAAACAGACTTATAAACCCTTTGTAAGGCTGACCTATTTGGGTACAAGGAGCTCTTGTAGTAGTCTTTGTAAATTCCCAAATGTAAAAGCAGATAACTAAAATTGAAGCAGCATCATTCTATTACTTGTAACTTCTGATCCTTTATATTTTATTTAAGTGTTTATTATTTTTTTCATCTACTTGCAAGGCAAATTGAGAAAAGAAGAGCAAGGGAGAGAGAGAGAAAGATTTTTTTCCACCTGTGGTTCAATAGCAAATATTTGATACAGCTGTATCAAATACAGCTGGGGCTGGGCCAGGCAAAGTCAGGAGCTCAGAACTCAATCTGGGTTTCCCAAGTGGGTGGCAGGGGCCCAAGCACTTGAGCTGTCTCCTGCTGCCTCCCAGGATGCATCCAGGAAGTAGAATAGCCAGTATTCAAACTGGTACTCTGACACATAGGCGTCCAAGCAGTAGCTTAACCCACTGCATCATGGCACTTGCACCATTTTTCTTAGTTTTATATTGAGCGCACTATATGAGCTGTTAGTAATTCTACAGTTTGTTAGAATCTGACGAAACTAGCTGTTATAATCTGCTTCTCAAAGAAAAGGGCATGGACCTGAATTTTGAGATTACCACACTTGGTATTTCTATTGTTTGACTTTGGCTCACTAACAAAACTAAACATTTTAAAATAAATATCCATGTCATCCTTCCCTTTTCTAACTATACTGAAGACACCAGGGATATTAGTGGTGTGGATATGGTTCAAGGAACAAATATCAAAAGTATATGGAAAATTCCCCAACAAAAATAAGATTGGGTTGGGTGTTTGGCCTAATAGTTAAAACATGAGTTGGAATGCCTGTATTCCACATGAGAGTGCCTGGGGTCAACACCTGATTCCTGCTAATGAGGACCCTGGGAAGCAACAGATGAAGGCTCAAGTGGTTAAGTCTCCTCCGCACATACGGGAGACCTGGATTGAGTTACTGGATCCTGGCTTTGTCTTGGCCTACTCTCAGTCATAGCAGGTATTGGGGAGTAAATCAGTGAATGGCAGCACTTGCTCTCTGTCACAGTCTCTGCCTTTCAAATAAATTTTTAAAAAAACCTAAAAATTAAAATATTGCAAGCATTACAGCACAGTATTTATTTTTTCCGAGTCTGCTGTAGATAATAGTATTCACAATTAGTGCAGTGTGCTGTTTCCTAATGAAGTAGTCAAAAATGCAGTGGAAAAAGACTCCCAAATAATAACAAAATCATTCAGAGAAGACTTTACCTGAGAGAAGACGAATCAGATGTTTCTGTATCACGACTTGAGAAAAGGTAACTCTCTGTGCAAATGCAAACTGAATCAATGCTTTCAGACCATTATGCTGGATCATAAGAGGAAAAGGGAAAAACAAGAGATGACAGACTTAAGTCATTCACAATAAAACAATTCTAATCCGGCAGAATCTGTTGCAGACTCATTATATAATTCACATTCTTACAAATAAATCATAATGTTCTTAATACCTCTACAAAGTTCTTACGACTAAAATTTCTAATAGATTTTCCCATGACAAAGAGATACTAAAGCTATAATCCTTCAATTCTCAGTAAGGCACTCATTTTCTCCAGAGTCAACTTTTTAAAAGTCTGGCCTAATTTATTCTATTGAGACCTGTGCAAGTCTATTTCTAGAAATTCTAAAATGATGGCAGAAAACCACTAAAATAGATTGTCTGCTTCCCATCTGCAGGATGGCAGCCACAGGAAAATACACTGAATGCAAGTCCCCTATGCCAATTGTCAGTAAAGTAAGGACTGGTCTTTTGTCTTCACAGGACAACTGAGCACATTTCTTGAGTACTGTTTTTTAGGGCCTCTTATGTTAGGAGGCTTGGGTCAGAGGCAGAAATACAGTCCTGCAAAAGTGTCAGGATCTGCCCATCAAGAAGCTATAGCTGAGTTTGATTCTTGATTTTAGTAAGACGAATTAGCTAGAGCTAAGCCGCAATGATTCTCAATGTTATATGATGGTACAAAATTGGTAAAGGGGGGGAGGGAGGAAATGGAGGAGATGACAGGTTTCTGATCTGGCAAAAAAGGGAAGATGAACTATCACCTGAAATCTCTGTGTGAAATATAATTAACCGCAGAGACTGAGCAAACTCTGGAAAGTGCAAACACTGATCTTTCAGTTTTCCATGAGCCTGACACAACTCCTTTCTCTCTACAGAATCCTGCTAATCTATTTTGATAAGTGTGGAATTACTACAAAACAAAACAGAACAAAACCCCATGAGTTAGTCACCCCTTGTTGGAATACACATACCTGCCTATTTTGAAGAGCTCCAAACAGAGGTTTTCCTTCATCTCCCAACAGGTTTTCTCAAAGAATAAGAAAAGCATAAAAACAATAAATCTTAAATCCTACTACAATTGTATTATTTCTATCAGAGGTCTTTTAATTAATTTTTTATCAGATTTTTACTCTTCCCCTTACAATTCTTAAATTAGAAATTTATAATTTTTGAGAAAATACTAGAGAAGCATATGTAAATTACTTAGAAATTACTGGTATAAATAATAAAGCCCCTGCAGCAATCTGAAAAGAATGCGTGGGAAAAACAAGGAAACTTGTTATTTTCCCTTTTACCATCTCTTCTATGCATGAAAAACTTTAGTAATTCTTATATATAATCAAACCATTTTGTTTAAAAATAGAATGGGAGCAGGTGTTTGGCACAATGTTAAGACACTGTTTGGGATGCCCATGTGCCATATCAGCATGCCGAGGTTCAAATGTGAGCTCCATTTCTGTTTCTAATTTCCTGCTAATGCACACCCTGGAGGCAGCAGTGATGTCTCAAGCAGTCAGGTCCCTGTCATCCATGTGGGGGACCTGAACTGAGTTCGTGGCTCCTGGCTTGGGCTGGACTAGCCCTGGCTGTTGTGAGTATCTTGGGAGTGAACTAGAGGCTGGGAATTCTGACTCTGTCTTTATCTGTCTGCCTTTCAAACAAACACTACATAATAAATAAATATAAATTCTAAAAAATATGTAAGGCAAATGTGAGAAACTTTATTCTTTCTGGTACATTAAAAAATAATTAGAATAGATGACAGGAAAAAGGAAGAAATTGAAAATACTAAAACTCCTGTTGGACAAGACATTTATTGCTAAATTACTCATTTTTCACTGATCCTAAGAAGGCTATATATATATATATATATATATATATATATGAGCAAGAAGGTTTTCTTTTCTATTTTTTTTCCACTTTGAAATGGACAATAATGAAAGATCCTCTGGTTTTAACTCCTCAACCATTATAATAAGCTAACACATCCTGAACATCTCTCCATCCCCAAAAGGAATGAATTTAGCTGATAATGTACTAAGAATAAAGGAGAGCATGATATCCACTCAAGAGAAAAATCGTGGCAGCGCTGTGGTACAGTAGGTGAAGCTGTGGCCTGCTGCACTGGCATCCCAGTATGGGTGCAGGTTAAGGTCCTGGTTGCTCCACTTTGCTCCAAATCCTTGCTAATGTGCATGAGAAAGCAGCATAAGATGGTCCAGGTCCCTGGGCCCCTGTCATCTATGTGGGAGACCAGGAAGAAACTCCTGTTTCTTAGCTCTGGCCTTGCCCAGCCAGGGTGGTTGCAGCCATTTGGAGAGTGAATTAGTGGATGGAAGTGTTCTCTGTAACCCTGCCTTCCAAATAAATAAATAAATATTTATCTATTTTTTTTTACTTTCTACAATTAACATTTTACTGTAGTTGCCTTATCATATCTATTTGTCCATCATTACATTTTATGGATGGTTGCAAAGTAAGCTGTCTTCCCCACCACACACCAGAAATCTTTTATTGAAGGAATACATTTCATAATTACAACTTCATACATTTCATAAATTCAACTTTCTGAACATGGTGATTCTTCCCACTGTACCCGCCCTCCCACCTACTCTCCCACCCCTCTCCCTCCTCCTCCCTCTCCTATTCTCACTCTTATTTTTTTACTAAAATCTATTGTAAATTAACTTTATACACATATGATTGACTCTATGTTAGTAAAGAGTTCAAGAAATAGTATGAAAAAAAAGCCTCAATAGTCTAGACAAAGTCTGTTCAAAGTCAATTAAAGCCCTAGTCTATAACACCAGCATTCCATATGGGTGTAGTCCTAACTATTGACTTTGCTCCAGCTCCCTGCTGGTGTACCTGAGAAAGCAGTGGAAGATGGCTCAAGTGCTTGAGCCCCTGCACCTACATGGGAGACCCAGAGGAAGCTCTTGGCTCCTGGCTCCTGGCTCCTGGCTTCGGATCAGCTCAGCTTCAGCTGTTGCGACCATCTGGGAAGTGAATCAGCGTATAGAAGACCACTCTCTCTGTCTCTACCTCTCTCTCTATTTTTTTTTTTAAAGACTTATTTATTTGAAAGTCAGAGTTACACAGAGAAGGAGAGGCACAGAGAGAGAGAGAGAGAGAGAGAGAGAGAGAGGTCTTCCATCCACTGGCTCACTCCCCAATTGGCCGCCATGGCCAGAGCTATGCTGTTCTGAAGCCAGGAATCAGGACCTTCTTATGGGTCTCCCACACAGGTGCTGGGGCCCAAGGACTGTGACAAATTTTTTAAAAACCTGTGACAATTTTTAAACTTCAAGGTCTAAATAAACTCGTGACTCCTAATTCTAGTCATCCCCAAAATAGTACAGTATGAAATACCCACACTGAAAGTTTGAAGGGACTCAGCAGCTCATGACTCCAAAAGAATGTTTTACATTATTTTGTTCTTTCTTTTTTTTTTAAGGTCTATTTTTTATTTATTTGAAAGGCAGATTTAGACAGAGGAGGAAAGAGGGGAAGTGATGGAGAGAGGGAGAGGGGTAGAAAGAGAGGGAGAGGGAGGGAAGAAGGGGGCGGGGGGAGAGAGAGAGACAGACAGACAGACAGATCTTCCATCTGCTGGTTCATTTTCCAAATGGCCAGAATGGCCAGAGCTGAGCCAGGCCAAAGCCAGGAGCCAGTAGACTCTTCCGGTCTCCCACATGGGGGCAGGGGCCCAAACACTTGGGTCATTTTCTGCTGCTTTCCCTAAGCCAGTAGCAGGGAGCTGGATGAGAAGTAGAGCAGCTGGGACGCAAACTGGCACCCATATGGGATGCTGGTCTCATAGGTGGAGGCTTAACCTGCTACACCACAGTGCTAGCCCTGGAATGCTTTACATTTCTTAACAGTTTATTCAGATTCTGTTCTAGTTAAACTTCACTTCTCTTATTTCTCATTTTATTTAATCATAGTAAAAATAAACCAGTACCCATAATTTTAGTCAAACAGGTTTGGAGGTGATTTATTTAAAAAAAATTATTTTATTTATTAGAAAGTCAGAGTTATACACAGAGAGAAAGAGAGGCAGAGAGAAAGAGGTCTTCCATCTGCTGGTTTGCTCCCCACTTGGCTGCAACGGCCAGAGCTGAGCCAATCTGATGCCAGGAGCCAGGAGCTTCTTCTGGGTCTCTCACACAGGTGCAAGGGCCCAGGGACTTGGGCCTTCTTCCACTGCTTTCCCAGGCAATGGCAGAGAGCTGGATCGGAAGTGGAGCAGTCAGGACTCGAACCAGCACCCATATGGGATGCTGGCAAAGGATTAACCCACTGCATCACAGCATAGGCCTCTGGAGGTAATTTCTAAAATCTATTTAGAGACTGATGCTGGTGTTTAGAAAAGCTTTGGGGAAAAAGAGGTTTCATGATATTTAATTCAAATTATAAAATAAGTTTGTGGGGCTGGCACCATGGCGCAGTAGGTTAATCCTCTGCCTGCAGTGCTGGCATCCATATCATATGGGTGCCAGTTCTAGTCCCGGCTGCTCCTCTTCCAGTCCAGCTCTCTGCTGTGCCCTTGGAAAGCAGTAGAAGATGGCCCGAGTGCTTGCACCCACATGGGAGTCCAGGAAGAAGCACCTGGCTCCTGGCTTCGGATCAGCGCAGCTCCAGCCATTGCGGCCATCTGGGGAGTGAACCAATGGAAGGAAGACCTTTCTCTCTGTCTCTCCCTCTCACTGTCTGTAACTCTACTCCTCAAATAACTAAATAAAAAAAATCTTTAAAAAAATGAAATAAGTTTCTTGTTACAAATACAAAAAAAACTTCAAAAAGTTTGTGAAATAATGGAATTAAAAGATAAGATTATCGGGGCCGGCGCTGTGGCGTGGAGGGTGAAGCCACCGCCTACAGTGTCAGTATCCCATATGGGTGCCAATTCAAGTCTCGGCTGCTCACTTCCAATCCAGCTCTCTGCTATGGCCTGAGAAAGGAGTGCAGGATGGCCCAGTCCTGTGTAGGAGACCCAGAAGAAGCTCCTGGCTCCTAGCTTTGGATTTGCACAGCTCTGGCTGTTGCAGCCAACTGGGGAATGAACCAGTGCATGAAAGACCTCTCTTCCTCTGCCTCTCCTTCTCTCCTCTGTGTAACTCTTTCAAATAAAGAAATAAATCTCTTTTTTTAAATAAAGATAGGATTATTTTGGTGCAAAAAGTTTGGAAATTCTTGCATAAGAGGGGATCTTCAAAACGTTTATCCAAATGTATACTATGAAAAAACTAGCCATAGGTTAAAAAATCCTGCACTAAAATAAACTTTTTAATTCTACTTCCCAGCAATTTTTTGAAATACTTTAAATATATTTAAATGAAGAAAATGTGACAGATTCCATTAAAAATAATTATCAAAAATATATATTGAAAAGGAATGTTAAAGCTGGCATGGGATAAAATTCTTAATCTTTTCTATATAATACTGAGCCTGTGACTGCAGTAAGCAAATGTACCAACTAAAAAATTTTACTTTTTCTATGCTGCTACACTTTTTTATGGGAAACTTTCAGTAAAGCAGAGAATTTGGCATCAGGCTTCCCTTCAGACTTGGCTCATTTCTGCTTGCTAATCCATATTTCAGTATTTTTTTTTCCTTTTCTGGTAATTATTTAGGTGATTTTATTTGCCTTCTCTTTTTCTCTCAAATTTATAAAATAAAAATTACTGAACATTTCTGGTTGTTTTTTCCTCATTTGTATTTTTTCTTGATTTTCTAGTGCTGTAAATTTGCTACCTTTTGACTATAGCCTGCTTTGTGCTATTCAAGATATTTTTAATTTATGTTGTACATGGCCATTATGATAGTTAAAAAGAGATCAATACAAAAAATTTCTTGGGGGCCGGCGCTGTGGTATAGCAGGTAAAGCTGCCACCTGCAGTGCTGGCATCCCATATGGGCACCAGTTCAAGTCCTGCCTGCTCCACTTCAAATCCAGCTCTCTGATATGGCCTGGGAAAGTAGTAGAAGAGAGCCCAAGTCTTTGGGCCCCTGTACCTGTGTGGGAGACCCAGAAGAAGTTCCTGGCTTCTGGCTTCGGATCGGCGCAGCTCTAGCTGTTGCAGCCAATTGGGGAGTGAACCAGCAGATGGAAGACCTCTCTCTCTCTCTCTCTGCCTCTCCTTTTCTCTCTGTAACTATGACTTTCAAATAAATAAATAAGCCTTTAAAAAAAAGTCTCAGACCAAATGGCATCAGGCCATCCTAGTAAACTGAAATACTAGTAGTTTTCAAACAAGTGAAAGTGTTCTGGGCCAACAGAGAAAAAGAGAATAATTTTAGGTCAATCAATGCTAACTGTTTCACTGAGACTTCCACACCCATGGTTCTTATAGGCTTTACCGATCGCCTGGATGGTGAAGGCACATGTGCTCCAGGTCATCATGGGGATTCGAGGATCTGTTTCATCAGGAGGCACTTTCAGTCCAATTCTATAAATCGTTGTGGCAAAGAGAATGACCATTTCCTTGATGCTAGTAGAATATTTGATCCTAAAAAGAAAAAATTATATAATGACTTAGTAAGAGATGGCCACTTAACTGAGAAGTTCAATTAGATACTAAAGCAAAAGAAACAAAATTCCTTTGACGTAAGTAAAGTGCTTTTGGCTGAATCACTCTGATGATTTATTCAACAAGAAAAAATGGGAAAAGCATAACTTTATCTCCTAAAGGTACAAAAATAGCTCTTGCAAGATGGTAATGACCCAGGTAACTTCATTTTCTGTAAAAGATAAAGTAAATCATCACATCTGGAAGGTTTCAGGTCCAAATCAGAGGACAGAATGGACAAGAGAGGCAATAAAATTCAGAGGAAATAAATATGACCTGACAAGTTTTGGTGTTTGGAAAAGGTATCAAGAAGCACTTTTATATTGGGGTGTGTGTGTGTGTATGCATGCATGCTGTGTCTATCTGTGATAATATGTACTTGGAATGATAAATTCTGGCTTTCTAAACTTCCACCTGTAACAAGTATTCAAGTATTTTCAGTAGCAATAGGATAGATATTATAAACAAGTAACACAACAACAAAAACATACCCCAGATAGTATTCATGAAATAATACCTGATTATGGCACATTATTTATTTCAAAATGTCTAACATAAATACCTTTCCAATTAGCTTATGAAGTAGATAAGAAGACCACAGCCTTAGTTTTACATACCTGAAAATGAACTGAGGTTGGCGCTGCATGAACTGAGATTTTTCAGAAAGTCACAGAGCAAGTTATACATGACTCTAATGAAAATCTCTTATATTTTAACCCTTTTATAGGTTGGAACTATAGAATTGGCATTCTTGTTGGTCAAAATGGTTATGTATAAGTATGAGTTATCCTAATATATATTAATTTCACTATTAGAAATAAAACAGCAGGAGTAAGACACAAGATAAAAATGGGATAAAGCAACAATTTCACAAATAAAGGAAGGAAAGAAAGAAGAAGGTAAGGATGTTTCCCCTCTTATTTCCACAACCATTCACAAATTTCTCTTAACTATTGAGATACTTACGAAGACTGAACTCCAAAACTCAGTATGGAATGGAACTCAAAGGTGGAATCTCCCATTCCTTGATTGAACAAGACAGGAATTATTGGGCTTTCTCCTAATGAAAGGAAAAAGAAAGAAAAATAATCAATGAGTTTATTCTGAAATGTTTTTCTAGCTTTTAAAAATTATTTATGATTATTTCAGAAAAATAAAAAAATGATAATAAGCAATAAATAATCACTTGAAATCTCTCCACCCAGATAACTACAGGAAACATTCAGGTGATACCTTTTTTTTTTTTTTTTGACAGGCAGAGTGGACAGTGAGAGAGAGAGAGACAGAGAGAAAGGTCTTCCTTTGCCGTTGGTTCACCCTCCAATGGCCGCCGCGGCCGGCGCGCTGCGGTCGGCGCACCGCGGTCGGCGCACCGCGCTGATCCGACGGCAGGAGCCAGGAGCCAGGTGCTTTTCCTGGTCTCCCATGGGGTGCAGGGCCCAAGCACCTGGGCCATCATCCACTGCACTCCCTGGCCACAGCAGAGGGCTGGCCTGGAAGAGGGGCAACCGGGACAGAATCCGGCGCCCCGACCGGGACTAGAACCCGGTGTGCCGGCACCGCTAGGCGGAGGATTAGCCTAGTGAGCCGCGGCGCCGGCCCAGGTGATACCTTTTTTCTATATAAATAGTACACACTTGAGGGAACTTCAAAAAGTTCATACAGAAATGGAAAATAGGGGCAGGCGCTGCGACAATAGCAGGTGCCAGCATCCCATAGGGGCGCCGTTTCTAGTCCCAGCTGCGCCACTTTTGATCCAGCTCTCTGCTATGGTCTGGGAAAGCAGTGGAAGATGATCCAAGTCCTTGGGCCTCTGCAGGTGACCTGCAAAAAGTTCCTGGCACCTGGCTTCAGATCGGTGCAGCTCCAGCCGTTGTGGCCATCTGGGAAGTGAAGCAGAGGATGGAAGACCTCTCTCTCTCCCTCTCTGCTTTTGCTTCTCTGTAGCTCTTTCAAATAAATAAATCTTAAAAAAAAAAAAAAAAGAAATGGAAAATATATTTGGTGCGAAAACAATCTTGAAATCCATGTAGTTTTTGCACATATAAATTTTCCATAAACTTCTTTTTTTTTAAGGATTTTATTTATTTAAGAGGTAGAGTTACAGACAGTGAGAGGGAGAGACAGAAAGAGGTCTTCCTTCCATTGATTCACTCTCCAGATAGCCACAAATGTCGGAGCTGTGCTGATCCGAAGCCAGGAGCCAAGTGCTTCTTCCTGGTCTCCCACGTGGGTGTGGGGGCCCAAGGACTTGGGCCATCTTCCACTGCTTTCCCAGGCCATAGCAAAGAGCCAGATTGGAAGAGGAGCAGCTGGGACTAGCACTGGCACCCATATGGGATGCTGGCACCGCAGCGGAGGATTAATCTGCTGCGCCACAATGCGGACCCCTTCCATAAACTTTAAAAAAGATCTCATATATTGTTCTGCACCTTGCTTTTTCACCTAAAGATTATGTATATCTTTCCACGTCAGTAACTCCCACTCTTTATTTCCATTTTTTTTTTTTTTTTTTTTTGGACAGGCAGAGTGGACAGTGTGAGAGAGAGACAGAGAGAAAGGTCTTCCTTTGCCACTGGTTCACCTCCCAGTGGCCACTGCGGCCGGCGCACCACGCTGATCCGAAACCAGGAGCCAGGTGCTTTTCCTGGTCTCCCATGTGGGTGCAGGGCCCAAGCACCTGGGCCATACTCCACTGCTCTCCCGGGCCACAGCAGAGAGCTGGACTGGAAGAAGAGCAACCAGGACAGAATCCAGCGCCCCGACCGGGACTAGAACCCGGGGTGCCAGCGCCGCAAGCAGAGGATTAGCCTAGTGAGCCGCGGCGCCAGCTTTATTTCCGTTTTTAATCACTATCCTTGTATAAGTATTCTCTCAGTAAAGCAGCATGTATCAGTGACTAAAACTAAAGGATCTGGGGGCAGGTATTGGGCAGTGCATAGCTGCATTGGGAGTGCCAGTTTCAGTCCAGGCTTTTCTGCTCCTGATCCAGCTTCCTGCTAATGCATCCTGGGAAGCAGTGGATGATGGCTCAAGTGCTTTGTTCCCTGCCACCATGTGAGAGGCATAGATGGAAGTTCATGGCTCCAGGCTCTAGCCTGGTCCAGCCCTGGTTATTGCAGACATTTGGGGAGTGAACCAATGGTTGGAAAGTCTGTCTGTCTGTCTGTCTATCTATCTATCTCTATCTAGATATCTATATCTAGATAGAGATAGATATAGATAGATAGATATAGATAGATAGATAGATAGATATCTGCTGTGTGGGCATTTGGGAAGTGAACTAGTGTATGGAAGATAGTTCTGTCTTTCAAGTATATGAAAAAAAAAATTAAAAAAAAAAAAAAAAAAGAGTAAAGGACCCAGAGTCAAGCTGCCTACGTTTGAGTCCTTTTGCAGGTTCCTCTGGTCAGAGAGGCTTGTTTTCTCTTGGGATTTTAGGTGTTTATGTGGCTACCATTGCAGTATAATTCCATGTCATGGGAGACAGCTGAAGGAGAAATAAAATAAGACCAGAATTCTCATTATATGTTCTGGCTCTAAGAGGCTTTTCCTTCGGCAGAAATGAGGGCACTTCTCTTGGATTTTTTGTTGTTCATGCCCACTGCACAGTTCTATGACTCAGACAGCTGTTGGGTCAAAGTTGGGAAATAAAGGTGAGAAAAACCAACCAACCAAGAAATTCATTGCCTATACTATCCATTCTTCACATTTTGACTTTCCTCCATTCTGCTTGCATTTTTCACTTTTCATAGTCTTTAGGTATTCTTTTTGCATTCTGTGAAACTGGTAGGGATTCACTAGGAATGGATATTGGCTTTTATTAAAAATCTTTTTAAAAAATTTGTTACAATGACTAGTTAGTTTTCTCCCTTAACCTGTTAATGTAAAAAACTTTCATCCATCGTTGCACTCTTAGAATAAGCCCAACCTGATCATTATCCCTTTTGGGTTATGAATTCTCCTCTAATTAGGGTTTGGACCATATTCCTCAGATGTTGGGCCACCTCCCACTGCCTTCCCAGGTGCATTAGCAGGAAGCTGGATCAGAAGCAGAGCAGCTGAGACTTTTTATTAGAGCAGCACTCTAATATGGGATGGCTGGTGTCATGGCACGTACTATGCCACACCACTGGCCCCACAACTGAGATTTCTTTTTTAATTAATTTTCAAAATTTATTTATTTATTTATTTGAGAGCTACAGTTACAGATAGTGAGAGGAAGAGACAGAGAAAAAGGTCTTCCTTCATTGGTTCACTCCCCAACTGGCTGCAACAGCCAGAGCTGCGCCAATCTGAAGCCAGGAGCCAGGAACTTCTTCCTGGTCTCCCACATGGGTGCAGGGTCCCAAAGACTTGGGCTATCTTCTTCATGACACCGGCCCCTTTAATTGTTTATTTTTTAAGAGGTGAAGGAGAGAGGAGAAGAGGGAGAGGGAGGGAGGGAGGGGGAGAGAGAGAAAGATAAGAGACTGATATCCTATCTTCTGGTTCACTCCTCAAATGCCCACAATGGCTGGGGGCTGAACTCAATCCAGGTCTTACATGTGAGTGGCAGGGATCCAACTACATGAGCCATTGCTTTTTGCCTTTAAGGGTGTACATTAGTAGGAAGCTAGAGCACAGTCAGGACTCAAAACCAGTCAGTCTGATATGCTAACTGAGTGTCATCCCAATCAGCATTTTCACTGCTAAGCCAAATACCTGACCTTACTGAGATTTTTATGTGGCCTAATTCATTAAGTAATAAGGGCCATCTGATAAAGTATATTTTATTTTCCTTTATTTAAAAATTTATTTATCTACTTAAAAGGCAGTTACCGAGAGAGTAACTTCCATCGACTGGCTCACTCCCCAAATGGCTACAACTAGCTGGGAGTGGGCCAGGCCTAAGCCGGGTACCTGGAACTCTATCCAAGTCTTCCACGTGAGTAATAGGGGCACAACCACGTGAATGCATCTTCAGCTGTATTCTCAGGCACATTTGCAGGGAGCTGGATCAGAAGCAGAGCGGGCAGGACTTAAACTGGCACTCATACGGAAAGCCAGCATTGCAGGTGATGGCTTAATTCACTGCACTACAATAGTGGCCACCAAAGTATATTTTCTAATGTGAACAAATGTCTTTAAAAATTACCAAATCAAGCTTAATTTAAAAAATTCTCTAAGTTCTTACATATTTTAAGACAACTTAATCAATCATATCCTTAGGAAGGTCTAGTAAAATTACCCACTATAAATATGCTTTTAATTTTCTTTATGAATTAAACAACACTGAATGAAAACAAAGAAGCTGAATTCACTATATTTTCCTTCTTCTCTCCTAACCTCATCATACCTGTAAATGGGAATAAAGGATATTCTTACTCTTTATTTGCAATGCTTCCTTTGCAATCTCTTGGCTGTTTATTTTCTCCTAACAATTACTGAATAAGCATTCAGAGAGTAATTATCAACGCCTACTGCCACCACTTCTCATCACCTCATAGTAAGACCACAGCAACAAATTCCTGATTAATCTTATTTTAAAAAAGATTTATTTATTTACTTGAAAGGCAGAGTTACAGAGAGGCAGAGGCAGAGAGAGAAAGTCCTCCATCAGCTGGTTCACTCCCTAGATGGCCACAATGGCCAGAGCTGCACCAATCCCAAGCCAGGAGCCGGGAGATTCTTCCAGGTCTTCCACTTGGGTGCAGGGGCCCAAGGACTTGGGCCACCTTTTACTGCTTTCCCAGGCCACAGCAGAGAGCTGGATTAAAAGTGGAACAGCTGGGATTCGAACTAGCACCCATATGGGATGCTGGCACTGCAGGTGGCAGCTTTACCTACTACTCCACAGCACTGGCCCCTTCTGATTAATCTTACATGAATCATCTCTTCATATCTCCAATTCACCCAATGAAAAACTCTCGCATCAAAAAGATAGCAGAATAAATGCTAATGACATACTTCAAAAATTTTAATCACTTTTTTGGATTAAAAAATTTATTTGAGAAGTAGATACACACACACAGAAACTCACAGCTCCCATATGCTGGTTCACTTCTCAAACGCCAAATGGGGTGAGCCAGGCTAAAGCCAGGAACCAGGAACTCAATGCAGGTATCACACATGGGTTACAGGGACCCAACTACTTGGGTCATTACTGCTGCCTCCCAGGGTACACAATGGTAGGAAGTTGGAACTGGGAGTAGAGCTGGGACTCAACTAGTTATCTTAACTGCCATGCCAAACACCAGCCCCTCTTACTGATTTTAGATAGATCTTGGATCAAAGATTTATTTATTTAAATTTAATTTACTTATTTTTACCACTTGAAAGGTAGTGTGATCGACAGAGAGAAAATGGAAGAAGGAGACAGGGTCGGGGGAGAGAGACAGAGAGAGAGACAGAGAGAGACTTTCCGTCTGCAGGTTTACTCCCCAAACACTCCCAACAGCGAGGGCTGGGCCAGGCCAAAGCCAGGAACCTGGAAAAGTCCATCCAGGTCTCCCATGTGGATGGATGGCAAGGGCCAAAGCATATCAGCCATCATCCATTTGCTCTCTGGGATGCATTAGCAGAAAGCTGGATCAGAAGAGTAGTATAGCTGAGACTTGAACTGGCACTCCGATATGGGATGCAATTGTCCTGAACAGTAGCTTAAGCTGCTGAGCCACAACACCTGCCTCAGATCTAAGATTTAAATCTAAGTAATCTGACTCCAGGTTAATCTCTAACTATAGGCCTTCCAGGATGAAAAACAACTAAGCTGAGTGAGATGATTTAAGCCAGACTTAGTAATGGCTTAAGAAAACTTTATTTCGGCTGGCGCCGCGGCTCACTAGGCTAATCCTCCGCCCTGTGGCGCCGGCACACCAGGTTCTAGTCCCGGTCGGGGCGCCGGATTCTGTCCTGGTTGCCCCTCTTCCAGTCCAGCCCTCTGCTGTGGCCCGGGAGTGCAGTGGAGGATGGCCCAAGTGCTTGGGCCCTGCACCCCATGGGAGACCAGGAGAAGCACCTGGCTCCTGCCATCGGATCAGCGCGGTGCGCCGGCCGCCCGCGGCGGCCATTGGAGGGTGAACCAACAGCAAAAGGAAGACCTTTCTCTCTGTCTCTCTCTCTCACTGTCCACTCTGCCTGTCAAAAAAAAAAAAACAAAAACAAAAAAAAACAAAAAAACACTTTATTTCCAGGTATTCAATAAATCTGTAGTTATAAATCACATTTAGCATAATAATTACTTTAAAATATTAAAGATTCTAATACATAATTTTCACATAGCTAATATAAAATACATTTAAGCAAACCTTTAGCATGTTTCATATTATAACCTGATATTCTGGCCAGTACAGTCTGAATCCACTGTGCCAAGGTCAAAAGTTGAGCAAGAGCTTCTGCATTCTCACTGAAAAATGATATTTAAAAATTATTAAAGTCATTGTAGAAAATCAAACTGAAAAGCTGAATTTGCAGTCCTTCCTTAAATCAATGGCTATGTAAAAATGACAAATTTCTCCAGATTAACTTTCTAGGTCATAGAAACATGTCTAAATATTTAGCTTTCGGAGGAGGGAGAGGAATTTTAAAAGTACTATAAGGAATAAGATACCACCCATATGCCCCATCACTCAGAAGTAATAAACACCAGTAAACTGAATTACCATTCTAACTATTCAAGACAAAAGCTAGGTGTTGTTACTGACTTCTCTGATTCCCTCATACCCTACATATTTTAGTTTATTAGCTATTCTTGCAGATCTTACCTTCCAAATATATCCCAAGTTGATCACTTGTTTCTACCCCTACCACTATTTACCCAAGTCCAGGTCATATTATCCCTTACCTGGACTACTTCAATAGACTCCTAACTTTCTTCCTGCTTCTATTCCTGTGTTTCATTAAGTATGAATTCATCATACAACAGCCAGAGGAATCTTCTAAAAATATAAATTGGCTCATATCACTTCCCTATTCAAAATATTGCAACAGTTTTCCACCACATATAAAATAAAAATTCTAACTTCTAATCTTATCTTCTTTGGTTCTTTGCTTGTTCTATTCCAGATATACTACCTTCTTGTTATACCTCAAACACGCCAACCATGTTCCTATCTTGGGGCCTTTGCTCTTAACGTTGCCTTTGCTTAGAATTCTCTGATCCTAGACAGTAGTACTGTTGTCTCTCACTTCATTCAGGTTTCCACTCAAATGTCACCATCTCAAGGAAGACTCCCTAACAACTCTATCTATAAGTAGCTGTATGCCCCAGTCTGTCTTTAGCTCTTTACCCTTTGGCTTTTGTTTTCTTATAGGATTTCTCATTACTCAACACTCTGTATTTATTGGTTTATTGCCTGCCTGTCTTTTCTGGAATGTAAATTTCATTAGGACAGGGATTTGATTCAGACTGTTAAGTGAAAAACAAAAGGGACCAGGAATAATGTTATTAAAAAGCACTATAAACAAGAATCCACTGACTGATAGGACAGTCTTGAATGAGGTTTAAAAATAAAATGAATTGTGCCAAAATCTGCAATATCTAGGTAAGAGAAAGTTTTTGGTTCTCAAAAATGAAAGTATAGTACTATGGATACTATGAATTATATGGGACCAATTTTCTTAAAAAGATACAAGCTTGATAGTTTTAAACTTTAAACAAATTTATATTCATTTTATCAAAATATTAATTTTGATCAAACTTTATATTTTAACTTTAATATCCTAGATTATAATTAACACCGATATTCTAAAAAGCAAAAAGGCTAATACATTCAAATACACAGGTAAGTTCAAGTGCCTGATACAGTAGTAAAACTGTTACTGTAGATTAAAAGGGTCCTACAGTTCAAAAAGACCTAGTTGGGGCTGGTGCTGTAGTGTAGTGGGTAAAACCATCACCTGCAATGCCACCAACCCATATGGGCACCAGCTCAAGTCTCAGCTGCTCCACTTCTGATCCAGCTCTCTGCTATGGCCTAAGAAAGCAGTAGAAAATGACCCAAGTACTTGGGTCCCTGCACACGTGTGGGAGGCCTGGAAGAAGCTCCTGGTTCTTGGCTTTGGATCAGAGCAGCTCTGGCTGTTGCAGCCATCTAGGGAATGAACCAGTGGGTGGAAGATCTCTGTGTCTCTTTCTCTGTCTCTACCTCTCCGTAACTCTGCCTTTCAAATAAATAAATAAATGTTAAAAAAAAAAAACAACAAAAAACACCTTGTCACATGGATCAGTTTTTCTTACTTTAGAAAAGATTCCCTGGGGTCACCATTGTGGTGTAGCGGGTTAAGCCACTGCCTGAGACACCAGCATCCCATATGGGCGATGGTTTGATTCCTGCTGCGCCACTTCCATTCAAGCCCCCTGATAATGCACCTGGAAAAGCAACAGATGATGGCCAGTACCTAGGCCCCTGCCACTCACATGCAAGATCTGGATGGAATTCCTGGCTCCTGGCCGTTGTGGCCATTTAGGGAATAAACCAGTGGATGAACGATCTCTCTGACTTTTCTCCTCTGTCACTCTGCCTTTCAAATAAATAAAATAAATCTTAAAAAAGGAAGCAAAGTAGGAAGGAAGGAAGGGGAGGGAGGGAGGATGGACAGCTGATAAATTCCCTGACGTAGTCTATTTTTTGTTTTTTTTTAAAGATTCATTTATTTATTTGAAAGGCAGAATTATAGAGAAGGAGAGGCAGAGAAAGAAAGAAGTCTTCCATCTGTTGGTTCACTCCCAAAATGCCTGCAATGACCAGAGCTGTGTGGATCCGAAACCCGGAAGCCTAGAAGCTTTTTTCCAGGTTTTCCCTTAATGGGGCCAGGGGGCCCAGGAAGTGGGGCCATTAAGTGTTTTTTGTTTTTTTTTTGTTTTGGACAGGCCAGAGTGGACAGTGAGAAGAGAGACAGAGAGAAAGGTCTTCCTTTGCCGTTGGTTCACCCTCCAATGGCCGCCGCGGCCGGCGCGCTGCGGCCGGCGTACCGCGCTGATCCGATGGCAGGAGCCAGGAGCCAGGTGCTTTTCCTGGTCTCCCATGGGGTGCAGGGCCCAAGCACTTGGGCCATCCTCCACTGCACTCCCTGGCCACAGCAGAGAGCTGGCCTGGAAGAGGGGCAACCAGGACAGAATTCGGCGCCCCGACCGGGACTAGAACCCGGTGTGCCGGCGCCGCTAGGCGGAGGATTAGCCTAGTGAGCCGCGGCGCCGGCTGGACCATTTTCTACTGCTTTCCCAGGCTATAGCAGAGAGCTGGATGAGAAGTGGAGCAGTCGGGACTTGAACCAGTGCCCATACGGGATGCTGGCACTGCAGGCAGCAGCTTTACCTGCAATACCACAGCGCTGGCCCAGAAGCATTCTATTCTTAAAGATATAAAGGAAAGGAGTTTCCAAATATTCTTTTAGACAGTAATTCACAGGGGGCAAGCATCCAGTGAAGCAGCTAGAATGCCACCTAAGATACCTGCATCCTCTCCATTTTTGAATCCAAATTCCAGAGAGGCAGCAAATGATGGCATGTGAGACACCAGTGGAAGTATTTGGGGGAGTAAAATAGCAGATAGAAAATCTGTTTCTGTCTCTCTAACAAAGAAAGAGGAAAAAGAATAATTTACATATTTAATAATCCTTATATGAAGGAACCATTATGTAAAAAAAAAAAACCTTGGATAGGCTAACAAGAAGTTGGAAAATCACTTGATTTTATTATTATTTATTTTATTTTTATTTTCAGGTATATAGTTACATAAGACTTTAGAGTCAGATAATGGTTTAAATTCCTGATTCTGTCTCAGGAAAAGTGCAAACTACCCCTTTATTTTTGTAAAATATTTTTTTCTAATGAAACTTTATTTATTTGAAAAGTAGAAAGAGAGTTAGAGATCTCCTCATCTACTGGTTTATTCTTCAAATGCCCACAACAGCAGGAGCTGGGCCAGGCCAGAGACAAGAACTCAATTCAGGTTGCCTACTTCAGTGGCAGAGACTCAAATACTTGAGCTATCATGTGCTTCTTCCCAGCATCAGCAGGAAGCTAGAACTGGAGGCGGAATCAGGATTCAAACCCAGGCACTCTGATCCAGGATGCATTGCCTCAGATCTGGGATGCATTGCCTCAGGTGACATCTTAACCAATGAGCCAAATGCCCACCTGCAATTCCTTATCTTTTTTTCTTTAAGTTTTGTTTATTTACTTTTACTTATTTATTTTTTAAAAGTAAGCTTATTGTGGGGCACAAGCTTTTTTTTTTTTTTTTTAAAGATTTATTTATTTTATTATTTGAAAGGCAGAGTTATAAAGAGGCAGAGAGAGAGAGAGAGACAGACAGACAGACAGACAGGCAGGTCTTCCATCTGCTGGTTCACTCCCCAATTGGCTGCAACAGCCAGAGCTGTGCTGATCCAGAGCTTCTCCCGGGTCTCCCACGTGGGTGTAGGGGCCCAAGGACTTGGGCCATCTTCTACTGCTTTCCCAGGTCATAGCAGAGAGCTGGATTGGAAGTGGGGCAGCTGGGACTCGAACTGGTGCCCATATGGGATGCTAGTACTGCAGGTGGTGGCTTTACTTGCTATACCACAGCGCCAGCCCCTATTTCACTTAACTTAAAGGCAGAGTAACAGACAGAGACAGAGACAAAGATTGAGACAGATAGAGGGATCTCCCTTCCACTAGTTCATTCCTCAAATACTCACAAGAACAGGGGTTGGGCCACGGCAAAGCTAGGTGCCTGTAATTCTATCCAGGTCTCCCATGTAGGTAGCAGGGACCTAACAACTTAAGCCATCACCTGTTGCCTTCCACGGCATGCAAGAGCAAGAAGTGGAGCAGGAACTCGAACTCAGACACTCCAATATGCGATGTGGGCATCCTAAGTGCTATCTTAATGCTGGGCTGCAATTTTCACCCTCTCTTTAAATGGATATAACAGTACCTACTTCATTACACTATTGCTAGCATTAAGTAAGATAATTTAGGAAGTACTTAGCAGAGTGCCTAGAATACAGTATTAGTTACTCAATAAATTTTTCTGATGCTACCTGATCTTCCTATACAACAATTTTCTATGTACCAATATGCTGAACAAGGCAATTTCCAAATCAGATTTTGCAATGACACAGAATAGCAGAGATAAACTAATTACTGATCTTGCAAACCTATCAACTTTGAACTTTAGTTACAGGAACATATTAAAAGTATTTTTTAACCAACAAAACAATTTTCTGTAGCAATACTTGGGTTTATAATTACAAATTCACTAAGTTTTAAAGAAACTGAAATAATAACAAATAGTACTGTTACCACAGAGAACACTGAGAATATAGAAATATATAATTAAGCACCCTAGTTGTTAGAAAAATGATTTTGCTTTTTTGTTTTTATTATTTTTATAGTTAATATTACCATTTGGATCTTGAGAAAAATGTAATTTTAAAAAGCTCACAAAGACCTTAAGCACTATCAAACTCCAAATAGCAACTGTGATGGTGGCAAAGGGCATACAAAAGGAATGAATTTTTTTGCATCTTATTTTCTTCCATAAGTGTTAAGAGGTTAGAGTTCCACTGCTTCAGTGGTCTTTGGTGGAAGATATATGGACAACATCCAGACTCAAGTAAAGGAGCACTCAAATCCTCTGAGACCAAACACTGGACTTTAAATCATAGTTTATAGTATGATATAAATTATGAAATAAAAGAGTGTTAATTCCTTTGAAGAGTAAAAAAGAAACCAGTATCTAACAAAAATAGGTACAAATTAAAGGATTAAAAAGAACTCCCTAAAAATTAACCAAAATACAAGTTAAAACATACCTGTTTATTTTTTGAGGTTGCAAAGGTATAATGGGGATCACAGTATTGCACAAAGACTTGCACAGAGGGCAAAGATATTCTCCACTCTCTAAGTCAAAAAGATCAACATGGATGCGTTGCTGAGAGCTCAGCTGTACAGCTTCAAAATACCTATAAAATTCAAAACACATGTCCACTTAGAACTACAGATTTATCTTTAATCCACATTTAAATATCTGGAATTTCTGTCCCCCTCCCATCAGAAGAAAACATTTTTAGAACCTACATACAAAAATATACATGTTATGATTACAGAAAGAACAGGCTGTCCATTTTGGGGAAAAGGGGGAGGAACTGGAATGTATCTCAGAACTGATAACAAATTTAAAGTAAATTTACTGAATCATAACACATTTCTTGCCTCAACAGGATGCAGGTGCAATGAGGACACCACTTCCCATAGCTTCTAATGAACAACTGAGGTAGAAAGGGCTATCACAGGAAAATTATGTATTTTAATCCAATGCTAAACAGGTAAATGCTATACAAAATATTTCTCAGGAATTACATTTCTGAAATCTTATTTCCAGAGAAAGAACTAAAATGTATTATCTACTCTCTCAAAGTTGCATTTCACTGTGTGTTTTGAGGGAAATGGTAAAGATTATTGCTTCATTTCTGTGAATACTGATGAAGAGCAATTGATTAGTTTGTATAGAACAAGCCCAAAGGAATAGTGAAAACCTCAAGTTGGTAACTTTATACTCCAATCTCTAAAGCTGACAATAATTCGTATCATGCAAATACAATCATCAATTGAAACCGCTTCAATTATTCAAATAAGAAAAAAGGAAAGAAGACATGGAAAACATGCCTTTTTGTGGCCTTTAGTGAACATCAGTGTTCCTAGTCTCTGTCAAGAACATGCCAGAAGGACAACTTACTTCTGCCAGCACACTGCATGCATTACATGACCACAGCTTCCTGTGTAAGTTCCATAGGCCAAGTCTGGATCCATGAAAAGTGGGTCCAGGGTTTCTGGTACAGGAAGACAAAAATAGGAAGTACGTGTTTATCTCTTGCAAAGTTATAATAAAAAGGAGAGGGAAAGAGAGAGAGGGAGAGAGAGAATGAGAGGATATCAGATCTAAAATTCTAATCACAACCTTCTTAGAAAAAATAAAGTGTCACAACAACATGACAGCAGGATCTATGTTTTTAAAAGCAACAAAAAGGGACTGGGCCAGCACTGTCGCCCAGTGGGTTAAAGCCCTGGCCTAAGTGGAGGATGGCCCAAGTCCTTGGGTCCCTGCACCCGCATGGGAGACCAGGAGGAAGCACCTGGATCCTGGCTTCAGATTGGCTCAGCGCATGGGCTGTAGCTGCCATTTGGGGGGTGAACCAACGGAAGGAAGACCTTTCTCTCTGTCTCTCTCACTGTCTAACTCTGCCAGTCAAAAAAATAAATAAAATTTAAAAAATTTTAAAAAAAGCCCTGGCCTAAAGCACCGGCATCTCATATGGGCACAATTTGAGTCTTGGCTGCTCCTCTTCTGATTCAGCTCTCTGCTATGCCCTAGGAAAACAATGGAAGATGGCCCAGGTCCCTGGGCCCCTGCACCCACATGGAAGACCAGAGGAAGCTCCTAGCTCCTGCCTTCGGATGGGCGCAGCTCCGGCAGTTGCAGCCAGCTGGGGAGTGAACCAACAGATGGAAGACCTCTCTCTCTGTCTCTACCTCTCTCTGTAACTCTTTCAAATAAAAAAAAAATAAAATAAAAAGCAACAAAAAGGGGGAATATTTAAATCTAAACTCTCAGGAATAATTCCAAAATTAGTATGACTGATTAATGACAATTAAATCTTTTATCAAGATTTTAATTCTGAACATTAAATTTAAGCTACATTATTTTGGTTGCTGAAGTGATTTTTTATGATTTAAACACAATTTACTTTTATCCTTTTAAGAATATTTGAATGGGGTGATAAACATACTGCATTATAACTTAGCAGAAAAAAGCATAGATTAGGGATTTCAAGTTCTAGTTTTATCATTTCTAACTCATAGCTTTGGCTAAGTTACTTAACTTCTCTGTGCCTCAGCCCCCTCACTGGTAAAAATGGAGCCAATATTGCTATCTAACTCCTAGAGCTTTTGTAAGGATTAACTAAGCAAATATATATAAACCGCTTAAAAAGTGATTTGCATATGTTAAGTATTCAATAAATGTTAGCCTTTATTATCATTATTAGTCAAGAGTATTTTTTAAAATAAAACAGCTAACATCTGATGTGACATAAGGAAAACAATCTTTCATCTAATTAGTATTCTTGACAAGAAAATGTTTAACATGAATCTAGTAATGAGGCAGCAATCAAATTCACAATGTGAAACAATGCACAAGACAACTTGCCTGCATTCTCCAAACATGGTATTATGAGAAAAAAAGAGAGAAAGTCAAGGAACTTTCCTAGATTAAAACACTCTAAAATAAACATAATCAAAGCAACATGTTTGGATTCTGAGTTTAAAAGAAAAGTCTATGGGGCTGGCACTGTGGCGTAGTGGGTAAAGCCACTGCTTGCAGTGCTGACATCCCATACAGATGCCAATTTGAATCCCAGCTGCTCCACTTCTGTTTCAACTCCCTGCTGATGCACCTGGGAAAGCAGCAGAAGATGGCCCAAATCCTTGGGCCCCTGCACCCACGGAGAGAGACCAGGAAGAAGCTCCTGGCTCCTGGCTTCAGATCGGCCCAGCTCCAGCTACTGTGGCCATTTTGGGAATGAATCAGCAAAGGAAGATCTCTCTCTATCTCTGCCTCTCTATAACTCTGTCTTTCAAATAAATAGATAAATCTTTAAAAAAAAGTCTAGTCATTAAAGCAATTTTGAGAACCACTTTGTAAATGTGTATTTTATAGTAAATGATATTCCTAATTATCAGTAACTTTCTTAAATATGATAATATTATGGCAAATATCTAATAGACTGTCCTTAGTTTTAGAAAATGCATGTGGACGGGGCTGGTATTGTGGCATAGCGGGTAAAGCTGCCGCCTGCAGTGCCAGCATCCCATATGGGTGCCAGTTCGAGTCCTGGCTGCTCCTCTTCCGATCCAGTTCTCTGCTATGGCCTGGGAAAGCACAGGAAGATGGCCCAAGTCCTTGGGACCCTGTATCCACGCGAGAGACCCAGAAGAAGCTCCTGGCTCCTTGCAGCCATTTGGGGAGTGAACCAGTGGATGGAAGACTTCTCTCTCTCTGCCTTTGCCTCTAACTCTGCCTTTCAAATAAATTTTTTACAAAAAATGCATATGGAAATTTTAGGGATAAAACATCATGATGCCTGCAACATACTTCATGGTTCAGAGGAAGAAAAAAAGAAAAATAGAGAATAAGTAATGAGCTAACAAAACAAAGCAGCCAACATGGCGTATAAAAAGCTGGGGTCTATTTTACATGTGGGCTAAGTGATCTGACCAAATTAGACTAAATAAGGCCTCATTTCCAAACTTCTTGCAAATAGTAATTAATTCTAATTACAAGGTATGAAAAGAAATGCTCACAAAGATATGACTGAACAATACATACCCACCGAGAGTTCTCTGGGTTTCCCCCTGTGCTGGGTTAAGGCAGTAGATTTCTGGACACAGGCCGAGAAAACCATGGCATTATTTTCTATTTTCACCTCTTGTTCTTCTTGGCAGAGGATGCATGTCAGCACCTCCTTTTCAGTAACAGACGGACCCCGTTTAGGACCCAGAGCAACTCTAGAGTAGTCACTGACTGCTGGGGTGCTACCAAAAGAAACGACCAGAAATGAAGACACAGGTTTTGGTCACTTATCTTTATATTTTGGTAAATTTAAGCAGGTATATGTATGAATTTTAAGAATAAAAATAAAAATATTTAGCAATATCTTAAAAGCTCCCTTTGGACCTTTCTGGCTTATATCAGTTAATTCACTACTAGAAAATACATTTCATATTACTAACTATTTAAAAAGAGCAAATCATAAAATGGAATGTATATTATATTTAATTTACGATACCCACAAGCTGAGGTGTTTTTTCTGAATATAAAAGCAATACATATTTACTGAAGATACTCTGGAAAATCTAGTAAAGTATAAAGGAAATAAAAAGCATTATACTCCCAAAAACCTAGAGATAATCATTAGAATCCCTGAATATTTCCTTCCAGTCTATTTATAATGTACATTTTTACATAAATGAGATCATGTTACATACACAGATTTATTCGGTTATATCCTGCTTTACTCACTTATGTCTTTGCTATTTTATCAGGTCATTAAAATTTCCTCAGAAACATGTTTAAATGGCTGGACAGTAATCGTACTGCATGTGTCAAAGGAGTTTTATCCATTCCTTCTCATCAGGTATTTTGGTTTCTGTTCTATTTTGATGGCTATTAAAACTAAAAAAACTTTGCCTCAATGACTTAGCAGTTCTTAGAATCTATTCTTATTGATCTAACAAACTCTAGGATTTATAGATGTGGGCAATAATAATATAGATAAGCAAATATTTATAACATGTTGATTGTGTGTTAGTTACTGTTTCAAATACTTTATAACTTGTTTGTTTATTTATTTAATCCGTGCAACAACCCTATGAGGTAGGTATTACCTCCATTTTTTTCAGGTGAAGAGACTGAGGTCCAGAGATAGTAAGAGATTTAACAAATGACTTCTCACTACTCAGTAGCAAATCCAAAAATTAACCCAATTGATTTGGCCTCACATGCTCTAAATTACTCTGTAATGTTGCTTTACCAACTACACAAGAAGCTCCCTGAAATACGCTATATCATTCAACAAACTGAAAATAAATGTTCATCATTAATGCAAATGAATTTACATAATATTGAAAGCAATGCAGTTTTTAAAAGGTGGTCTCAACAAGGTGTGGTACCACCTCCTAGGAGACATCAAAAATAAACATGTGGGTGAAGTTGACTTTTGGGTTGTCATTAGAACTAGTGGGACACAGCATACTAAATGTCCTGCAATTTGGGAGAGAGTCCTTTTTGAAAAGAATTGCTTCCCAAAATGCCAAGACTGAGAAATACAGAGCTCATTTTGATGTAAGAACATACATCAACTTTCAAGACACTACTTAGGGGAAATGGAAAGTTTAAGAATGATATGTACATAATACCATATATACAAATAAAAATGGATGGACAACTAATTATTGTAGTGAAAGTATTTGCATGTAATAGTATACTAACAATTCAGACACTCGTGTGTGTGTGTGTGTGTGTGTGTATATAAAAAACTTATATGAAATTGACACTATGAGAAACGGTGACTTGATCAGCATAGCCCTGTTAATGAACAACTTAATACATTATCCCTCTTAGTTTTTTTTTGTCTGTTCTACTTAATATGACTGGTTTAATTCTGTAATTAATACACAGTTATTCTTAGGTGTTGAAATTTAACTGAAATGTGATCCCTGTTAAACATAAGAGTGGGGATAAGAGAGGGAAGAGATGTACAATTTGGGACATGCTCAAGCTGACTTGCCCCAAATGGTAGAGTTAGAAACATACCAGGGGACTCCAATTTAATCCCATCAAGGTGGCATGTACCAATGCCATCTCACTAGTCCAAGTGATCAATTTCAGTTCACAATTGATCATAATGAAAGGACTAAGAGTCAAAGGGAGCACATAAACAAGTCTAGTACCTGCTAATACTAACCGATAGAATAAATAAAGGGGAGAGTGATCCAACATGGGAAGCGAGATACTCAGCAGACTCATAGAATGGCGGATGTCCTAAACAGCACTCTGGCCTCAGAATCAGCCCTAAAGGCATTCGGATCTGGCTGAAACACCCATGAGAGTATATCAGGCATGGAAAGCCAAGACACTCTGGCAAACAAACAAACAAAAAAAACACCTAAATGAAAGATCTCTGTGAGTGAGATCCCAGTGGAAAGAACAGGTCTTCAAAGAAGGAGGTACCTTTCTCTGAAGGGAGGAGAGAACCTCCACTTTGACTATGACCTTGTCTAAACAAGATAAGAGTCGGAGAACTCAAGGGGCTTCCATAGCCTTGGAAACTCATGACTGGTGCATAGGGAGATTACTGATGCCATAAACAGGAGTGTCAATTTGTAAAGTCAACAACAGGAGTCACTGTGCACTTACTCCTCATGTAGGATCTCTGTCCTTAATGTGCTGTACATTGAGGCTTAATGCTATAACGAGTACTCAAAAAGTATATTTCACTTTGTGTTTCTATGGGGGTGCAAACT